ACATTGGAAGTCTTTAAGAAGAGATTGGACAGCCATTTGTCTGAAATGGTATAGGGTTTCCTGCTTCAGCAGGGGGTTGGACTAGATAACCTCCAAGGTCCCTTCCAACTTTTTATTATTATTATTGTTATTATTGATCATCGCATAGTCAGCCAGATGTTCAGACTGGATTTGGCATTTTTGTCTACCTATCGAGTCCTTACCAAGGACCTGGGATAGACAGATGTGGATATTTGATGGTATTACAGATATCGTCACTACTACTACTACTACTACTACTACTACTACTACTACTACTACTACTACTACTATTATTATTATTGCCTTAAGGCAATAATAATTGAGATACAATTCAGTGCTTTAAATATCCACATTTTAAAAAATAGTTCTTGAAGACTACCCACATTTGAAATGTGTTCCTCGACATACTATACAAAGTCCGATATGGCCCACAAGCTGACAAAGTTGCATGCTCCAAGTTTATGGCTTAAGGCATGTTTAGTTATGCCTTAAAAATAATTGAAAGCCAATGAAGTTGTAATATTTGTCATGAAGGATATCCAAGCAAAAATAATGGATAGAATGTTTTCATATAGTGGTGGCTACAAATAGTGTTGAGCATGTTACAGTGATCCAAATAAAATATATGGACACATTCAAACTAGGCTTTTTTCTCTGAAGTTGGCAACTCCTGGCCAATTTTATTATAAGAGTCACCTATGTGGGAGTTGGGTGGCTGTATAAATCTGTGTAATAAATTAGCAAAAATAAATAAATAACTTAGCCCCAAGAAACAAAAATTGATAGAAACTTCACATTACATCTAGAAGCATCCCGAAAACATGTTGAACTTTACTGTACGCTTGATTTTTTCCATCATCCCATTTGAAAGCAACAAATGAGTAATAACCAGATGAGTTTTTGCCAATTCACTTTACCCAACCCAAGAATTCAATCTGATCTCACAGGAATAGAATAGATAGAGCACAGAAGAAATAAAATCTTCAGAACCTTTCTGGTGACCTATGAATCTATTTCCTAGCTTTAGTTGCCTTTCTTGACCAGTGAAAGAGAAACAGGAAATAAGAAAGGAAATGCCATTCCTATTCATCTTTAGGAAAAGTCAGATTTTAAATCTAAATTACTAGTAGAAGCATTTCCTTTTTCCTGTACTTAGAAATAGATGGCATAATTATATTGCCTTTGATACTCCTTCTTATTTAGCAGCAATGGGAGATGACATTTGGGCTTTATTTCCTGCTGAATATTATGGTTTAACAACTGCTTTTTGCCCTTCTTTTTAAAGGTGATTGTTCAGATTATTAATGTATTTTAATTACTATGTTGTAAATTGCCCCAGAGGCATTAATTAAGGGTAGCATGCGTATAAACACATTAAATTAAAAAAAGTGGTTACAGGGAAATAGCCTTCTACAAATAGAAAGAATCACCCCTTAAAGTCTGTCCTCATTAGCAGTCCTTAGCAGGGTTCAGTTTTTATGGTGACAGTAGAAAATGTTGCTGGCATAATAATGCATTGTCTTGACAATCTCTATCCTCCTTTGTGTTTGTTGGGCTTGCTGGGGTTTTGTGATTTAGAAAACAGTGGGATGAAGTTGTGTAAATCATAGTCTGACAAAGGTCACCCTCATAGGGATAGGGACAAAACTGTGGTTGCTAGGCTGTTCCCCTGATGCTGTAAATAACTAATAAAGGAAGATTCTGAGGTTTAATGTGTGCATGTACTACTGAGAGTATCAATTTAAACATGGGTCTGTTTGCATTATGTTTTAGCCTGAATAATTATTTTGGTTTGAAATTTTATGGATTGCATAATTGCTGAGTTACCATGATGAAAAAAAGCCAGTGAAATTACCCTGACTCCTACATTGCAGTAAACCACAATTTTGTTAGCAAAGATTTATTGAACAAGGTACTACTGGCTGAGTTCTCACATTCTTTCAATGCATTTTAGAAATCACCAAAACTGATTGCATGGTGATGTGGTGTGATGTGCGAACACAGTGCTGTATATAAATGCTCAGACATGTTCTGATAATCTATTATCTAGAAAATAGTAAATAGTCACCTTAGTTCTCTTTGGGTGAGGGAAGCATTTTGCATTAAAAAAGAGAAAATGTCATTCTTGACTAGGAGTTTCGTGTCATTGTGCATGCTTCCTTTAGTAGCTGGGAGATATTTTTGCACATATGTACAGCTGATGTATAGAAGTCTTTTGCTGCTACTGGTTGTGTAAGAACATATTACTTTATCTTAGAGGCTACATTAATTCAAGAAATTGATTTGAAAATGTTTCTCTTAGAGAAGAATCAAACTATACTTTTCCAGTTTTGTGGAGCCTTAAGAAATATATATTTTTATACTTTATACTCATAGAGTTGCTTTCTCGCTTGATCCCTGATCCTATCAGAAGTTTGATATAAGCATATGAAATTGCCAGCAGAGACATAAGAGAAAAGCCTATCAACTCAAACCACATAGTAGTTGTAATCTTTGTCAACTCTGAAAAGTTGTGATTCTTTTTTCCATCATGGAAATGCAATAATAAAGAAAAGCTCACTTATTTTATTTCTAGATGGCATACGAATAGAGGTAGAAGGCTTCTCTGAAAAAGAAGTTGGCAAATCTACATTTTTATCTACAAGTTTGAAAAGGACTGATCTACAGGAATTCCAATGAATGAATTTTACATACAGCAAGCTTTGAAATTCTTGAAGCTTTCTCAAAACCTCTTGGCAAATTTGACACAGAAATGATGTTTACTACTTTAAATGTTTTTATGATCCTTAAAATTTCAGTATGTACCAAAGCCTTCAAAAAGTTGCAACATCTTTGAAGCTGCAGGCTTTGGTGCTTAGTAATTTACAAAGATGGCCAACATTACTTCTGCTTATTTACAGTCCAAAATCATGACCTTTCTCTAGATCTCATCATAAAACTTCACTTGGAATGCTGTTAGATGATAGCAGAAAGTAGCAATGGTGGAAGGATAACAGACCAGAAAAATCACTGCAGCTGGGGCTATAGAAGAACAGGAAAGTCTCATTGTACATTGTACTTCATTGTACCAGACATTTTTAACAGAAAAAAGGATAATGGCAATTCCGCAATGAATTGTAGGGACACTTTGCTTTTCAGTCCTTCAGATTCACAACTCTTCCATAAGAATTAAGGATTAAATATTGAAACAGCTGCACAAGATTAGAAAGGTTAGAGTAATAATGGACAATTATTTGACAATTATTTTACTAACTTCACAACAAGCATGCAAGATCTTTTTAACCCAGAAAGTCTTCTCTCACTTGACAAAATATTTTAAATTATTTCATATTTGTCCACTGAAACCATTGCCCAATAATGGCAATGCAGGAAGAACCTCACATTTCTCAGCTCCTAGGATTTTTTCTTTACTGTTTTGGTACTTGAATCACTGAAATTGTTGGACCAAATTTTGAATAGGCCTATTTTATGCGTGGAGTCCAGTCTAGTACTTTAGATCAGACTAGAAAATTAGGGTAGATGTATAAAGCTCCAAATTTATGCAGGCTTGAGATTATATTTTACTAAGCAGAAACAAGGCTACAGAATAGAGCCCCATATTTGAGTGAGATAGTGTAGCTCAAGTCCTTAATAAGTTATAACAGCCAAGGCCTCCATTTAGGTTCTTTACCTTTACTTCAGGGGTGTCACTCGCAATGTCACATGACGTGTTGCAATGTATCACGACTTTTTTTTCCATTGCTGGCAATGGGGTGGGTGTGGTTTTGGCATGATGCATTGGACTCGTGGGCCGGCAGTTTTGACACCCCTGCTTTACCTTGTCAGCAGAGCTTAATTATGACACAATATGGCTTATTTGCTTCTGATTTAATGCTGTGAAAACTTATTCATTACATGTTAGAATTATATGAACCAGTCTATTATGGTTGGGTTATAATATTCATGTGGCTTTTTTCAATTTAATTGGTATGGTCATTTGACTAATTACTAACAATAAGCTAACATATCCACATGGCGAACATCCAAACTTCAACCAGATAGCAGCAAAAATGACAGAAGTTTTCAGCGTTTTCTGCCATCTGGATATCTGCCACTTAGACTTGGCAGCCCAAACTATGGCCAGTTAAAAGCTCATACTTTTGTTTTTAAAAAAAACCCTGTTTAATTTATGCATGAACCAGGACAACGTGCAAGTCATGTTCATTAGAATTATCAGTAAGTTGATAAAAAAAAAGGAGGAAGCAAAGTTCTGGATTGCTTCTCCCCCTCTAAATACGCTCCTGATGGCAAGCAGTATTTCATTTAATTATATAACAGTGGTTCTCAATCTGTGGGTCGAACGACCATTTCACGGGGGTCACCAAACAATGCAGTCTGCCATTTTCCCCCCCTTTTCCTTAGCTGTGCTACTCCCTTTTATTCTGTTGGCTTTTGAAAGCCAATAGAATAGACTCTCTTGAGTCTATAGGAATAGACTATAGAGTCTATAGAAAGCCAATAGGAATTGTCCAGCTGTCTCTGCCCTGCTGAGCCCGCCAAAAGTCCCATTCTGCAAACGGTGCTGCACCAATTGAGTCGTCCTCAACTTACGACCGGTTGAGTAGTCCTCAATTTACGACCAGTTGGGGGTCGCAGCATTAAAAAGGTTGAGAACCACTGTTATATAACAATCCCAACTACGTAATTTGGTTTACGCTCATCCAGGTGCTACCTTTTAAGTAGCTTGCGGAGTCCTCCCATTATTTGGTCAGATAGTATGTCATATATTTTGTTTATTGCTGTCTTTGCATTTCTGTTTGTCCCACTCACTGAAATAACTCAAAGGACTCCCAGCTCCCTAATTCCTCCTCCGCCCCTTTTGGAAATCATCCCCTTCTGTCTGTAGAACCGGGATGTCTGATTCCCAAACGCTGGGATAATTTCACGCGCCCTTAAAAGCCCTTCCCGGCTTCGTCAACTGCGCAGCAGACGGGAGGCTTGCGTCTTTGCATGCAAAGCAGACCAGCTCCTTTGGGGACGGGCGGAAAAACCTCCGGGGCTCGCGGACCTAAGCCGTCCGAGCTCCCGCGAGGCGGCGGCAGTAGCAGCGACAGGCTTTCATTACGCCCTCCTGTCGAGTTGAGAAGGTGGGGTTTGCCTTGGCGAGGGCGGGGCTCCGACTGAAGGCCGAGCACGGTACAGGGACCGGACAGGAGGGCAAGGAGCAGGTCGAGGGTGGAGCGAGCGCCTGGAGCGCGCGGGAGCAACCGGTCGGAAGTTTTGGCTGAGCCGAGGCTCGGAAGCTTTGCAAGTTCTTTTAAGCCTTCGCCTTTATTTTGGAGCGGTTTTGAAGAGGTGAGTTGGCTGGGTATAATTCGGGGAAGGATTAGACTTGACCCGGGGCTTCTGTATTGTGATATTTTGGCGGGAAGCTTGGGTTTCTCTAGTTGGGAGACAAGCTGAAAGATTCCCCTCCCCTTCCCCACAGAAAGTTTTCCCAGCAGTAGCTGCCGTTAAAGGGACCTTGAAGGGAGGGCTGAGTTGGTGGTTGTAAACACGGTGCTTCTTTCACCGCTGAGCCGCAAAAGTTCCTCATGTTGATGGGGGGATTGCTCCTACACCTCCTCTCCCAAAATAACCCGCCAGAGGATTACTATAGAGAATAATGTCAATACTACCGGTATAAGGCTGCTAACGGGAACAGTAGTATGCGAGCAGTTACAGAGGAATGTATAGTATAGGAATTACTCCAGTGCTCATATGAGGAGTGCGACTTCAGATTTTTCTTCTTAAAGGTACAGTCTGCTTAGTTCAAAGGCTTCAGAAAGATTACGCCACCGTCCTGGAAGGACAAAAGGAAAAAAAAAACAATCCTTCGTTTCAGATACTTATTCAATTCGTGGATCGTGCAAAGAAGGCTTCTCGCTGTCCACCTCTTGTGCTTCATTATGTGGCATAAACTCATCCAAACTATCAAAGAGTGCTGGAAAACTGGAACGATTGCAACTGTATTATGGCCTACAGTTATAATTAATGTAGATGCTGGAATTCTTGTTTATTGTCCTTAGTACTAACTGTATAATGCTATGCATGTTTTACACAAGTCCCATGGCGCTGAAGGGGGCTTATCCTCAAAACATGTCTGGGCTTTCTCAGCCTCAGGCTAAGCAGTGAGTAAACAGGCATACTTGAGCATGGAATTGTTAGAGCAAAATGAGGTTCTAAAACCCTGTTTAAGTATTGTGGAAGAAATGTCTAAAAGCACAATCTTGGTTTGCTGCTATTTTTTGCTTTAAAAGCTAAATGTTGTGTAATACAGTATACTAGTTTGTAAAATGTTCCTAGACTTTGTACAGTTCTGCTTATCAGATTGAGATTCTGCTGATGGGAGGCACAATTTAATAAACTTTGCTGCTGAAGTGCAATCTTATATATATTAGTTCAGAAGTGAATACCCTGGAGTTCATTGGTGCTTGCTTCAATGTAAATTTATGAAGGATTTGTTTCTGGGAAGGGAAGTGAAATTTGCAGCATGTAATGCCATTATTCTTTGTTGAAACAGTTTGGAAACAGGTTTGTCATACACTTGCTACTCCCTCAGGATCCCTTCTGTACATTTTGGGGTATGTTTTAAGGTATTTCCACCCTTTCTAAAAAGCACTGTTAGGCTTTGTACAAATTGTACCTATTTTCTTAATAACCCTGAAATATTTGCATGATTGTATCTGAAATATGGATTAATGGTGCTATTGAGTGAAATTAGGTTTGATGAAAGAAATGGCACCAGACTGCATAACTATTGCATACCCTACATGGTTTCAAACTTTAAAAAAATATTTTTCTAGAGAATTTATTTGTGATAGGAAATATAAAGTGTTCTTAATTTGCCTGTCTGCTGGAGAGCAGAATGTGACTTAACTTGTAGATCAACAGAAGTCCATCCAATACAAATGATTACCTTTCTTTTTGCTTTGCCTTCTGGAACCACCATGGCTTGTGTTAAATTATTCTTGGCTAGTATTCTTGTGCTGTAATAAAGTAGATCTTTTATTTAAAAAGCAGCCTCACTGTTTAACTGCATGTAGAATAAAAAACTGCTTCCTTTAAATGTCTCAGAAAAACTTCAATTAAAAGTTTTAATTTTTTTTCTGGCACAATATGACCAGTGAACCTTTTCATATCATCTTGATGGGAATAACTGTAAGAATACATTTGAGACTGCCTACTTATTTAAATGTTAAACTCTGCTTCCATAGATCCACTATTAGTGTACTTACCAGCTCTAAGCCAAAGTCTTTGAGTGTTCATCAAGCACTCTTTTTTATTTTATTTTATGGAATACAATTTTTCTCCTTTATTATTTAACCACAGTGATGGGAGTCTGTGGAAGATGGAAAACACAAACATTTTTTGATATTTCAATTTGAATGAGAAATATCAATACATCTGATAATAATCCTTCATAAATGGGGCCTGTGCAATTACTATTTAAAAGAAGAATCTAGAACTTAATCCAGGGGTGTCAAACTGCCGGCCTCTAGGCCGGCTTCATCATATACCGAAGCCATGCCAACCCCATTACCGACAATGGAAAAAGTTGCGATACATCGCAACACGTCACGTGATGTGATGAGTTTGACACCCGTGATTTAATCCATTCCTCTGTACTTCTGTGAGGTGTTTGAATGGTATCCATTACCTGTCTCAGCTTCAAGCTGCTACTGCTCAAATCCTCTCCCAACAGTACTAGACATGTTTTGAAAATGATAGACAGTTCCTTTTTATTAAAAAATAATACTGAGATGATGGACACTTTCTCTTCTACCTTTTTCCCATCAAGGGTGATTTATTAGATTGTGGCTACTGAATGATTTAAGTTTTTGTTTTTCCTTTTTTTGTTGTGCAATAGGAGATATTGCATTCCTGTGTTGATGTTGAATTGACCTCAGTTCTGGGTTATGGATGGACAAAATGAAGTAGACTTTTCCAATAACAACGTTACACCATTGTGGAAGAGAAGATCAGTTCATCGTGGGCATTTGCATACAAAGAATAAACCTAGACCAAAGTCCTATCAGAGTTCCACTGGGGTCCTCTTCACAGATTTTCCTGTGGAAGACAAAGATACACTCACTTTAATGCAACCTGATAAAACAATTAGTTCTCCGGACAACTCTATTCAGAGAACTCCCTTGCTTTTGACCTGTAAAAGTGTACCAAATGGAAAGGTTCAGTTTCCAGAACATAGAACCTTATCTTCTACACTTTCTGACCAGTCCCCACAAATCTTGAAAATGATTTCAAATAATTCTATAAATTTTACATCGAGTGGTTATTTAGATTCAGCAAACAGTAAATCAACTCGCACAAGGAAGGCTTCTAATCAAGCATCACTTAATTCTGAGATGGAACATACTGTTTTCAAATCAAGCCTTGGAGTGTCACCAACAGAAATTGTGCATTCGCCAAATAATAACACAACCATTGACTTAGCATTAAAACCGAGTCAACTTCCTAAAAACTTAGAAAATGAAGCTGTTTGCCTGCGTGCTTCCTCAGACATTGCACATTTGCCTCTGCAAAGAATACCATCAAATCGGAATGACCAATCAGATATGTCATCTGTGATTCTAAGCACAAATAGTCTTGCTGCATTAAAAGTGGGAAAACAGCAGATCATCCCTAAGAGTTTAGCTTCTGAAACAAGAGTAATTGGTAAAGCTAATTGTCAGAATTCAGAGCCAAACAGCAGGGTACTTAAGGTACGCAGCATGGTGGAGACTCTTGATGCACCTTTGGCAGCCAGTGAAGATGATGAAGCAGAAGGGGATGTGGAAAGCCCAGGGATGCTAAAGCGTAGCTTGAGGTCTACTTCATACCGACGAGCTGTTGTGAGTGGTATTGACTTTGATGGTATTGCCAATATTAAAATGAAAAGCAAAATGTCTCAGCCAGTGCTGAAGGCAGTCATAGAAGATAAAGAGAAATTCTCTAGTTTAGGAAGAATAAAGGTAAGTAAATAAATGAAATTATTAATAGTTTACAGTCATTGGTAGTTCAGATGGGCTTATTTTGAACATTTGGTGTTTTAGTTTTTATGCTGCAAGATCAGAATAGTATTTTAAACCATAGATTAATAGGGAAAAATGTGAGAAATCTTATAGGTTTAAGAATGACAAAGGAAATATTCTTTACCACAAATGAGTGATAACAGCCCTATCACTAAATGAGTCTTTGAAATTTTCCTGAACAGACCCTTTGCTGTTATATGTAATCTTATCCATTTAGAAAAACACCCTTAATAGTGCAATGTGTTACTTTTCTTAAAAGGTACATATTTTAAATCTTTACACAATACATCCACTTTTCATTATCTGTGATAATCCTTTATTTACTCTTTTAAGTGGGAAATTAATTCAAACTGCATGGCTTGAAACATCATAGTGAGTTCTTTATTTCAGCAAGTGCTCTTAATAGCTATCCAAAAATTTATCCCTGTGACATTCATGTGGGATGAGGTTTTGTGTCTGAAATGTTTCTCAACTCTAGCACAAGCTCTGGATACAAACTCAGTTTTCTACTTTGTGTTTTGAACTTGGTTAGTGTGGAGTACTATCCAGTACAGAAACAAACTGACTATTGAGAACGGTGACTTTCTGTGTTTTTAGGTACTCCGGGCTCTTGTTAGGACCAGAAGATTGTGCCTTAATCTTATCCCAGAAAAAGGCAGGGTCATGTATTGATTTGCTTGATCTTTCTCCAGACTTGCAACTTAAAATGTTTATAGCTATATATACGAGAATATTACCGTTCCATAAATTTGCATTCAGATGCTCAAGTTTATGATATTGGTTGACATGGTAAAAATGATTATTCCAGATTATGTCAATATATCCTGACTGAAGATTATATATTTTGATTTATCATATTTCCTGGTTGTAAATATATGTATAACTCTGGATGGAAATATTGTTTAAGCAACAATGTGTGTGTACAGTATTTGGAAGCATTTGGATTTGGGTTTTTCCCCCCCAGATAATTGTATTAAGGGGATAGATATCCTTCTAATCATTTTTTTCTGGCATCTTAATTCAGATCAGTCAAGTCATTCATGATCTATTGCTGAATCTCACTACACTGACAGGGTTTCTTGCTATCTGTTCAGGTAGAAACTTTTTCATAAAGTAAAGTTAAATTTCCCAGAATTTCAGAGTAAGACAATTTGTGCAAAGGCAACATTTGTAAAACTCAGTTACAGAGTTCAACACATATACAATGCATATTTGGCAGAGATGTATTACTGGATTTTTTGTATATAATTTTGCTAATCATGTCTTTACTAAAAGCAACATGCTTTTTTTATTTACAGTCCTGTCTTTTCTAGGCACCAAGGTATAGCTGTTCAACCAATATTTTTTAAAAAAATTCATAATCTAACCCCCACCTTGGACTTCAGAGATTTTTACACAGAAATGTATGCATTAAACTATTTTAAAAACAGAATTTGAAGATTTCTTTTTTTAAATTCCATTTTGGAATGTAGAGATCATCTGAGGAATGTTAGGATTTTTTTTTAGTATCCCTGAACACTGTGTGGTTGTTTAGTTTTAGCTTAATGTGTTGTGCAGCCCAGTCATTGTGTTTTGGAAGTTAATTATTATGTCTTAGCATGATGCATAAATCTAGTTACTTGTGATTTAACAAACAAATCATTGCTATTATATCCTGTTCTTTTCATTTCAACTCTTCTACCATGTTGAAGCTGAATAAGGTAAATTGTGATTAAGAGGTGTTTCTGTTAATCCAGCCTTCATTTGACCTTTGACCTGTTACTTCTGATCGTTTATATAACTCTGAGAGCATGGAGAATCTGCTAGGTGGAGATGGAATAGGAAAGTCTGTTTATGTCAGTCCTGTTATGTGTATCCAAATTTCAATCCAACTCCCCAGACTTATTACCAAGTAATACAAGATTTGAGCCACGAAGACATTATCTGTGATGGAATATATACAAAGTCTAAAAGAATGGTGTAGAATTAATTTTTAGTAACATATATTGAAACATGTTTTCTATAGAACTGGAGGGTTTTTTTTGAGGGGGCGTAATTAGGAAAAAAGGCTGCCTTTTCCTTTATACAGGAAATACTATTGAATTTAAAGACTAATAAAATCATTTACGGTATGCATTTCATTATACTTACACTTTCTTTATACTTCATTATATAGTGAACCATTTCCTACTTTAATAAAGAATTTTAAAAATTTCTTCAACAAAAATATTACTGATATACATGTTAAAAGTGTTATTTTCAATGGGTTTGGAAAATTTTGATTCCGAATCATAACATTACCAAAGTTGTAGACCTCCTGAAAGATTTTGGCTACTATCCTAACTTACTAATGATTAAATGTTATGGAAAACATTTAAAATTCATTTATTCTTATGAGCATTCCTAATTTCACTAGTTTCCCCTTCCCCTTCTCTATTTTCTTTTTGAAATATAGAAGAAAATGCTAAAAGGACAAGGGACATTTGATGGACAAGGTAAGAGCTGCTTGGGTATTCTGTACTAATTTTTAATGATATATTGTATAAAGAAGTGGAACAAGGTTAAGTTTTACTCTGCAAAGCAAAGTTTGGGTCAAAGATGTAGATTCTTCTGTTTATATTAACAGGATGAGGGAAAACAAAACCAAAGTTGTTACACCAAATATCAACAAGCATTTTGGTTGTAATATCCATAGTGTTCTTCCGCTAGTAGCATGGGTGGGAAAGCACTCTTAACCAGCTTTATGATGTCTTCAAGTAGAGTAAAATAGGATAAGGGGATTTCCTATTGCAAAGAATTCTGTCGTATAGTTAATGGGGGAGAGAGTAAGAAAATGCAATCTTGTTATAATGGTTATATAAACATTGGTTATGCCCTATTTGCATGGGCTCCCATCTGTCTCATTGGTATTATGAATTTCTTTGGTTATTGTTACTTCTTGTCCTAATTTGCATATTGTTATCACTTGTAGGCAACACTTTGGTTTGTTGGTCATTTGCATTTCAGATGTCTGTGGATTTTTTTAATTCATAATTTTCTTTTTTCTATATTGTCCAAGTTGTTTCATCAAGCAGTTTCCTTTAATGTCTTTGGCTTTGTTCATTCAATGCCTCATATTTCTTAATTTGAGACTGCTTCATTTTTTAGCCACAATATACATATACTGATTTATAATGGTCTATGTCTATGATCATAAGAAAGACTTGATTTGATCTACATATGCTGCTGGTTTAACATGCCTCAGGGCTCGGTCCTGTCCCCCCTCCTTTTTAACATCTACATGAAACCGCTGGGCGAGATCATTCGGCGACACGGGGTGAGGTATCATCAGTATGCGGATGATACCCAATTGTATATCTCCACCCCGTGTCCTTTCAGTGAAGCAGTCGATGTGATGTGCCGGTGCCTGGAAGATGTGAGGGTCTGGATGGGGGTGAACAGACTTAGACTCAACCCTGACAAGACCGAGTGGCTCTGGGTCTTGCCCCCCAAGGGTCATCCTGATGGTCCATCATTAGCCCTGGGGGGAGTAAATTTACCTCCCTCAGTGCAGGCATGCAACTTGGGTGTCCTCCTGGACTCACAGCTAAATTTGGAACATCTATTGGCTGTGGCCAGGGGGACCTTTGCCCAGGTTTGCCTGGTGCACCAGTTGCAGCCTTATTTAGACCGGGAGGCTCTACTCACGGTCACTCATGCCCTTGTCACCTCAAGACTGGATTACTGTAATGCGCTCTACATGGGGCTATCCTTGAAGAGTGTTCGGAGGCTGCAGTTGGTTCAGAATGCAGCCATGAGAGCAATTGTGGGTGCACCAAGGTACATCCACATGTCACCTATCCTCCATTAGCTGCACTGGCTTCCTGTGGGTCTCCGGACACAATTCAAGGTGTTGGTTATCACCTTTAAAGCCCTTCATGGCTTAGGACCAGGTTACTTACAGGACCGCATACTGCCACATAGTTCCCAGAGACCGGTGAGGTCCCACAGATTGGGCCTCCTTCAGGTCCCGTCGGCTGGCGGGCCCTCGGGGAAGGGCCTTTTCTGTGGTGGTTCCGACCTGGTGGAATCAACTTCCCCCCGAGATTCTAACTACTCCCACCTTGCCGGCCTTTAAGAAAGCCATTAAAACTCTCCTGTTCCGGCAGGCCTGGGTTTGATGTCCCCGGGGGGGCCGGGATACGACTGGACACGCTGTATGAATGCACTTATTTTATTGTTTTATTGTTATATTTATTGTTTTAATTTTGTACGCCGCCCTGAGTCCCTAGGGATTGGGCGGCATATAAATTTTATTAATAAAATAAATAAATAATAAAATAAATATTGCAATTTTTAATATTTTTTCACATTTTTAGTGGTATTCTCATCCTTTGTTATTACCAGTGCAACTTATATATCCCATATTTTAGAAATCTTAGGCTTTCAACCCAAGCTGTAAATTGAACAACAGTTGAAAAGTAACATGATAAATTGAAAGCAGGGTCAAGTCCAGTTATTCTCCCTCTACTCAAAGAGTATTAATAATAGGAAAGCAGACTTGATAGGATTGATCCCGTATGTGTGTATATGTGTGTATAACTTCTATATAATTCAATAAATATAAGATTCACATATAAGAAGAATTGAAACATAGTTCAGCCTACTTTCAGAAAGTCATTTTATTGTTAACTTATGTCTCTTAACTGATTGTGTATTTTTGTATTGCATTAATTTGTTATTCATGTGGAATGTAAATAACTTACATTTAACTGAAATAGGGCTATCTGGGATTTCTGATTGAAACTTCAGATACTTAGATCAAGCCTGTTTTATTTATAATAACGATGTGTGGTACTGTAGCTTTACAACATGTTCGTATATTATCAATTTCTTGAATCTTATTAGGGTAATATGTATTCAGTGTTTAAAAAGTAAAGGAAATCAAAACATCAGATTATATAATTTATGCAACATGATAAAGTATAGAATGATTTGATTGACATTTTAATAGGCCTGAGAAAAAAGCCCAGTATTTAGTACTAAATCTAAGATGTTGCTATATACTCTTTAGCTCTGCATTTGTAGTCATAATTACAAGAAACTAATTGATTCTGTTTAAAGTTTCAAATGATTTTACACCTCCCTTACAAGATAAATCAGCCAACCTTCACAGAGGAACCCTTCGTATTCAATCATCTACAGAAGGGGGAGAATAAAATAGGTTTTTTGTTTTTCCTTCATGAATTTGACTGACCTGATGTTCCTGTAATTTATAATATGCTTTCCCAGTATCTGTTCTGAACAAAACTAGCTGTCTAAGAAAAAATTATTATAATTATATAGTCTAGAAGCATCTCAAATCAATTTTGTTTTTTGTTATTAACAGAAAATGCAGTGTTATATCAGAATTATAAAGAAAAAGCTTTGGATATAGATTCTGATGAAGAAGTAGAATCAAAAGAACACAAGTTAGATGAAAAAATAGTCATTCAATACAAACCTCTAAGATCGACATGGAGTCAACTGTCTGCAGTAAGTGTCATAATATTACTAAGTACCTCAAAGTTCAAATTGGAAACTGGTGATGTTTATAAGCAAAGTTTTTTTACAGCCTTATTTTACTCTCAACTACTTCCCAAAGCAAAATGTTTATGAACATGCAGATACTATTCAGTAGTTGTAATTGGCAAAGAGAGGTGGCTGTTACATCTGCATTTTTCCTTTGATTCGTGTTTTTTATAGCAACAGACTAACTGGATGAAGACTTCAGGAAACATTATAAACCAACTATTATTTTATGGAAATAATAGGTCAGGATGATTCCTTCCTTCTTACCACTTAGGAAACCAGTAAAATGGAGAGATGTACAGGTGGTTACAATTTAATTTGAAATGTTGAAATTTGAAATTTTAACGGTGCTGGATAAATGGACTTAATAACCCACGGGTGCTTTTTTCAAAGGGCAACTGGCTATGTTTTTTCTTTGAGGAAGAAGAGGTTTCACTTCTCATCCAAGAAGCCTCATCAGTTCTGACTGAATGGTGGGGGTCATCTGGTTGTTAATTTAGCACTTGGGGTTAATATAGCACTTGGGGATTCATCTGTGCCTTCAGGATCACCTGAATCAGAATGCAAATGGTTGTGGACTGCATTGTAGCCAGGAAGTAGGTGGTGTCGTATTCCTCTCCCTCGGTTGAGGGAGGCCTCTTCAGTTCTAACATAGATGGCCTTTTTAACTCCTCTTTCAAACCAATGATTCGATCCAGAATATGGACTTAATAACAGTTGCCAGAAGTTGAAGCTATTGTAGCACCCCTGTGGCCAGGTTATGAAAATTTGGATACTTGGCAGTCTGTTCAGCTTCTCCGACCTACCAATCTCCCCCAAATCTCAATCACCCAGTCAGCCCAGCAACATGTGCAATGCTGCCACAGCCCAAAAGACGCCCTACTCCCTGGCCCATGATGCCCAAGAGGCCTTGGTCAATTGGAGGGCCCACCAGTGCATGCAAAGCACCCCATTTCACTCTTTTTCTGCAACTGCAAGTGGACCCCACTCTCTTAATCATTCAGAAGCTTTCTAACCTTCTGAATAATTGTGAGAATGATGCCCACTCTTGCAGAATTTCAAAAGCCTCGTCCCATGTAGCCCTTCTAAAGCACTGTGAGAGCAGGCATTATTCTCATGATTGTTTGAATAGGTGGGGGAAGCAGGCCTGGACCTCCCAGGAAGTGGCAGCTTTGTGTTGTACTTCAGCACCCTGCCAACTAACATAGTCTGTGCCCAGCCTTCAGTGCCTCCCACGATGCCTTTTTACCGGGGACTCTTTCCACTTAATGGCCTACACAATGGCTTAGCAACAGCAACTAGCAGAGCCAGTTGCAATCATTGAACAAAGAGGTTGTATGTCATCTTGCTTAATATCTGCTTTGCTTAGTGACTGATTTCTATATGTGCTTAATATCTGCTTTGCTTAGTGACTGATTTCTATATGTCCAGCCTTCCATACATTCAGCTGACACCTTTTTTAGGGACATTTATTAATAATAATAACAATAATAAAGTTGGAAGGGACCTTGATCTATTCCTCCAAATTCTAAACTATTAAAAATTTTCAAAGAGTTCAAATATGAACTTAGTCAAAAGATTCACTATGAATGAATATTTCTTAAATCTTTCTGAAGCAATATGATTGAATTGGATTTCAGCTACATCAGGTACACAATATAATTTAACAGCATAGTTTAAGGGCAAGCAAAAACCCTTTATTTTATCAACTGCTCTAAAAGGTTGTTTTCGTTAACTACTCAAAGTTTGACCTATTGCAGTCAGAACAACCAACTGAATTGTGCTGTTAATTTCCTACTGTGGTCTCTGCTGGATTAGAAGAGAAGATGGACTGATCCAGCTGAAATGGCTCATTGCAGGGAGCTTAAATTATAGTGCGAACATCCAAATTTGGCCATTATCTTAGCAGTCTGATTATTGCTTTAATGTAATTGCTTCCCATTCCACAGCGGTCATGTAGAGCTGTTGCAAAAAATAATCATGCCACTAGTCCCTTGCCCACTTGATATCAATAGCCTCAGGATTATCAGAGCAATATGAATGGATAATGCATAAGCAGATAATGAAAATCAGTTCTGTGATCTAATTACCTTCCTGCAGTTTCACAGATAAAGAAATAATTTTGATATCCATATAGTTCCATATAGACCTTATGATTTGGATCCAAAGAACTGAAAATGGGATTCTACTACGCAGTGCTTTTTTTATAGAAACAAAAGGTACCGAACTCACACATGTCATACAATCCGCCTTGCCTACCCTGCAAGGTTCCATCCAAAAAAGGTGCCAGAACTCCATTCTGGGCATTCTATGACAAAATTGATTTATAATCAATCTTTTGCTGTAATTTGCTATAATTCTCATGAAAACATTGTGTGGGTAAATGTAAAGGAGTCCCTGCAGGTTTTATTCCACTAGTTGTAGCCAATAAGCGTTGGTATATATATCACAACTAAAACATAATGCAGTTTGTTTGGTTTGGGTTTAATAGCCATTAGAGGTTGTAAATCATGCTTTATGACTAAAAGTAATGTATAAATCGAGCCATTATACCGGAATTAAAACAATTTCTGATTAACTATTGGGGGAAGAGGATTAAGATGTTGAATAGGAGTTGCATCTGGAAATCTCTTTTTTATGGAACAGAAATTATTTCATTTAAGCAAGCAAGCAAGCATGTTACATACCCACTTATATGTGTATGTGTAATATGTATAGGAAATATGTGGGTGATTTTGGTCCTATGTGTGTGGGTTATTTTTTGTTGTTGTTCTTTCCAATGCTCTGGTTTTATGTAAGGTCTTTTTTTTTTTAGTTTGCTTATCTCTTCTTAATTGACTGAAAGAAGCTGGATAGAACACAAAGTCTTTTGAAAATAGTTCCGAAGCTATTAGAAATAAGATATTATTCAGCTCTTTTTAAAGCTGTCTTTGTTTAAAGAAGTAAAAGCTGCAGAGTCTCATTCACAATATGCAATACCAGGGCAATAATATGCATGTGAAAGTAGCTTGAATTGTGAGCATATCAGGAAATAAAGTGAAAATACATTTGGCAATAGTATATCTTAAGTTATATAATCAAGTTTTTTAAGTTATCTGCAACATCGTAAAAGCTGCATCTTTTGCCAAGTTACATAAAATACAGTAAAGTAGTTATAAAGTCGAATGCTAACAGGAAATATCAAGTATACCCTGTGAAGCTAGTTAAAATGTGTGGTAGATTCAGTGAATTATTGCCTTTCAGGTAATTTTGATTAATTGAGACTTAGGCAGCTGAATGTAGAAGCATAGAGAGACCAAGAAAGGTGTTTAGAGATACCATACCAATATTCCTTTCTCAGTGATTGCTCCTTGGCCTTCATGAACAGTGACAATCATAGGTACAGAAGTGTTATTCTAAGGGAATAATTAAACTTTCCTCTCATAAATCACCAGAAGAATGGCCTTTCTCATTACCTAGGTATCTATAAATGACCTATTTGCTGGATTTTGAAAATTTTGCTCTTAAAAAGAAAACAGAATATGTGGGGATGGGAACCTGAATTGCTTTTTCTACAGGCAAATTTGACATTCTTGGGCTATAGGAATGTGAGGAACTTGACCAGCATGATTGAATCTGTCTAACAAGGACAAAAATGATTAATTTTAATTCTAATCTTTTATTGCAGTAATAGAGAGTTTTGTTTGTATTAAAATTAGTAGAGGCATGCTTTAATTAATCTTTCTAACCTCACAATAAAGTAATGCCTTTTTCCATGTTAAGCATTAGACCATATAAATAAAATAGGTTTAAAATAAAATAGGCTTCCTAAGTGTATATGAAACAAAGGATTAGTAAATGTAATTTAGATTTGTCCATTTCCCACTAGCTTTTTACCTTTCCTCCATCATTGTTCTGAAATTTCAACAGGCCTTTATTTGACCAGGTTGGATCCATTGTTCTCTGCCATTTTGCTCAGGTGCTATAAAAAGACACATTTACACCATCAGTATATATGTCCCTGAGCCATATGCTTCTTTTCTGGTCTCCTTCTGCAGAATTCCAGTTGACTTGTCTACTTGATCTCCTGATGAAATTCATTGGTAAAGAGTATGCTACTTCTTTTGTCCAGCCAGAATGCAAATATATCTTTCTAGATTGCATATATATATATATATATATATATATATATATATATATATATATATATATATATATATATATATATATATATATATATATATATATATATATATATTGTTTTCTGAGGTTTTCGCGGGTATTTGTATGTAGGTCTTTGGTTGTTCGGGTTTTCTCCCACGTAAAATTGGAAGTGTCTTGGCAACGTTTCGACGAAGTCACATTCGTCATCTTCAGGCTGGTGTTTTTAGCTTCTTGCTTTGAGCAGCAATGTGTGGTTTTAGCTGTTTCTTCCTTTTAACTGCCAGTGAGGGTATGAACTGATTGGGTGGGAGCTTGGCTGTGTTCTGATTGGGTGGAGGTGTGTTCTGAATGGTTAGGGGCTTGGCTGTGCTCTGATTGGCTGGGGGAGTGTTCTGTTTGGTTGTGCTCAGGTTAGTCTGAGTTGCAGAGGGGTTTAAGATTTTGGGGTTAGGGAGTCGTTTGTCAATAAGGGCAGGTTTCCAAATGGCTGGTAGGCGGGAGGTATCATCTCGCTTGTTCATGCTGTGTGGGCGTTTTTCTATCTCGATGGCTTCTCTGATTATTCTGTTATTAAAATGTTCACTTTTGGCAATGGTTCTGGTATTTTTAAAGTCAATTTCATGTCCTGTGGCTTTAAGGTGTTGGACCAGGGAAGATGTTGGTTCCTCTTTTTTGACTGAGTTCTTATGTTCTTCAATGCGTGCACTTATTCTTCTGTTGGTTTGTCCGATGTATGTGGTGGGACAAGTGGTGCATGGGATTTCGTATACTCCTTGATTTTCTAATTCAATTTTATCTTTGGGGTTTCTAAGGATGGTGGATATTTTTCTGTTTGTGCAGAATGCTGTTTTGATGTTGTGTTTATGGAGGATCTTACTGATTCTGTCTGTGTGCCTTTTATGTATGGGAGGAGGGCTTTGCCGTTTTCTTGTTCTTTGTCTTGGATTTTAGTGGGGGTTTCTTTTTGGATTAGGTTTGTAATCTTATTTCTATGGAATCCATTGGATGTTAGTACATTGGTGAGGGTGTGTAGTTCGGGTTTTAGGTGTTGTTCGTCAGCTAAGCGTTTTGTTCTGGAGATGAGTGTCTTGGCCACCTTTCCTTGTGATTTGAAACTGTATTTTTTCTTTAATTTTTATTTTTAACTTTTTTATGTTAAAGAAATATAGAGAGACACATATGATACACATACATACTTACATTTTATTTGAATTTGACTTCTGGCCTTACAAACAATTCAATTACATAAATTGGAACTAATTAAATAAAATGCAAAAAGAAGGAATAGAAGACAAACATAGGTTGTATCAGGGGTGTCACACCCACCCCATTGCCGGCAATGGCAAAAAAGTCACAATACGTCGCAACATATCACGTGACGTTGCAAGTTTGATATCTCTGCTTTATATTATTTTCATTACCTTTTTGTTACATGAAAAATCATGTGTGCTTATTTTTATTCAAAAATTTAAAAATGTGTAGCATCTGTTCACAGCCTGCCCAGGCCCTAATCTTACAACTACACATTCATGAATATTTGCAGGGTTTTTGTCTCCGTTCCTATCACATGCCCACTACTAATCTGCCCATCTTCACAGACTGATTCATCAGCCTACATACATCACTCAGTAATCCCAGGCTGTTAGAATTTTAGCATAAGAAATACCCTTTTTAAGCACAACCCTTCAAATTTCACATCCTTGGTCCACCCTTGAAATTTCTGAAGTGTCATATAATTTGAGAACTCTTGCTTCACTAGAATTAATTCAATACTTTAGTGTACCAGGGAATTGAGAACATACTTTTAACAGTAATACCCTACCCAGGGCAATTTTTTACATCTGGGAGCCATAACAAAATCTTTCTAGAGTGCCTTTGGTTAGCCAGAGCTTCAGTATTCTGTAACATCTGTAAAGGGAACTGACAGCACAGAAGTTACCTATGGTTGAGATATTGACAAATCATTTAGGTATCATAAATTGTCAATTGCTATTATAGAAACTATGAGTTAGGGTAAAAAATGGACTATATATATATATTAAAAAGTATGAGTTATAAAAATATATTAATTAAGCATTCATTTCAGGTGAAGAGGAATGGCTTATCTCAGACCATCAGCCAAGAAGAAAGAAAAAGGCAAGAGGTATCTGAAGTGTTATAACCATTAATTCAGTTATTCATATATGCCTTTCTAGTACTTTGTTTTAGAAAGATAGCCTCAATAAATTCTGGTTCTCTTTTCAACCTTTTTTCTTTGAATTAAATTACATTACCATTCCTTTTATGCATGCTTTCTGGAATTGTATTGCCCCTAGAGGGAAGGGGAATACTTGCTGGTAGAAAAGGGTTGTATAAAATATAAATTCAAAAATAATATGTGGTTTTGGTGGTATATTTAATGATGGAAAGAAGATTCTTAGCCCATGTAAAGTATTAAAGTATGTAGAAATAGCCAGGGTAATATTTGTGTCTTTTCTCATAACCAATTCTGTTTCTGCAGTTTTGACATATTTCTGATAATCTTTCACACTGTATAGATTTGGGATTGCAGAGATAAAAGGGGTTAATAGTAAAGTTTATTTAAGTCATTGACTTGGAAGTAGAAAAATTAAACTTGAGAACAAAATCAAAATTTAAAATTGCCAAATCATTAAAAGGGAAGAGAAAAATTATTTTGCTTATATGATGTAAATTGATTAATTTAGGCTGTACAACTTTTTGCCTTTAAACCTCAAATCCAGTCAGTTATTATTATTAAGTTAGACCTCCAACAGCAATAGAGTTAGTAACCTGCATAGCATTAAATATTTGGTGAATATTCTGCTTGAAGTTACTTACTCTTGTTGCTACAGTGCAAAACCTGGGTGTACAGTAACATAGGTCTGACAGAAGCATTAATCTTTTCTACCTGGTAAATGTTTCATGAGAGACATGATCAGATACATTTATATAAAAATAGCATTATAATTAAGCGTGGTCCATATCCTATAGTGCATGAGATTCCAAAAGCAAAAATCTGTTAAGATAGCTCTGATTCTGGTTCTATTCGTTTACCACATCTATGTATATTGAACATCTTAGTAATATTTATATAATAATAAAAGATTTTTAAAATATCTGTTGTTAATTATAGCAGAAGGTAGTATGTCAAGGTTGGCTAGAGAAAGAGCTCTGTGATATGTGGCATTTGTTAGATTGACATGTAGCCAGTTGGACTAGAGGTACATGGAAATGTGGAAATAACTTCCTCCCCTTTTTGTGACTTCTACTCCTGAACTTGCATTGGGTCTCTAATCTTTCTATCACATTAGTATGAGGAGTGATCCTAAAATTTGTTGTTTTCTCCTCCTCAGCCCTCTAGAGGCTTCTGCTGCCCTCTTGATGAGTTTGGAAAACTTTCCTCCAGCTCCTTTTGGTTTGGACTGCACTCAAGAGAACTGTTCCTCAGAATAGTCCTGACAATTCAATGAGGGATCATAAGGAAGGACCTAAAGAGCATTCTGTGTGTAAGTCAAGTCAGATTTTTAAGCTGCATAAAGTCAGGATAGGGAACATCCAAAGGAGGGAATATCAACATGCTAAATTGAACTTTGCTGTGAATGAACTGGGAAAGAAGCAACTTATTTTTGAAATGATAGGAACTTGCCAGCTATTAGGGGAAAAGTTGAAGGCGGGTGCAGTTCTCTTCAGCTGCGGTCCAAATCAGAGGAGCTCAAGGCTGGATAATGACTCAAACTAAAGAAGAAAAAAGGAAAAAAGGCTGTTGGATTGGATTGGCTACAACTTTATAGATCAGGCATGTCAAACTGCCGGCCCGCAGGCTGGATGTATCACTCCAAAACTGCGCCTACCCCATTGCTTGCAATGGGGAAAAAGCCATGATACGTCGTGTGACGTTGCAAGTTTGACATGTTTGTTATAAACTATAAAGTAGGATTAAAGCGATTAGGGAAATAATCTTGAAAAGCTTTTTACTGAGTGATGATGGTTACAACACATTTTATGACTTAGCTTAGGTGTGAACCCCATCATAGTTTATGAGCTTTTGGCTTAGGTGTTAGATCACTTGGGTTTTTTAATGCTTATTAAAATAGACCTTAGGCTTAATACTACATGGTAAAGCAGACATACATGATGGTAAGAAATACAGGTGTTATCTTTAAATGAATCAAAGAAAGAAATGCACAACAGAGTGCTGAGGAGTCTATCACTCTAATATAAACTGTACCTAACCTAGACTGCTTTAATAAATACAAGTGTTATATATACAAGTAAATACAGTATACATTTTGGTGCCGTTTCCCTTGCCTTACTGATTAGTTTAAGGTTTGTACATTTTATTTTTAAATGTACTTTATGTATTGAAAAGGATAAAAAGTAAAAGAGATTGAGTGAGGTTCTAGAAAGTACATAATGATTTATCCTGGATGCTATTGTTGCAATGTATTCAATCTGTGTGATAATGCAAGCCAAGGAAAAATAATCTGGCCTAAGATAGGTCTTAAAAATGTATCTGCTATCTACAAGCCCTTCTAATCTTAAATGTAATTACTACAGTGGATCTAAGCACCAGCTTTTAAAAACATGCCTTCTGTTTTAAAGGCCTTTTAATTTTAAATTAAAGTACTTCCTCATTGCCATATCCAAAGCTTCAGTGCACATTTCAACTCTAAAGAGTTCTGACAACTGTTCATCAGCTATCAGACTTTAAACATCTGTGTGCATTGCTGTTATGCAGATGAACTGAAACTACATTTCTGAGTGTCATTCATGAGGACTGTCATTTGTCTTCAGTAAGAAATAAGAATCAGAAAATACATTATCATTCTTCACCTCCAATTAGCATCACTAGGTTATACATGAACTCAAACACTCCCTGTTCTGTTTTTTTGAAACTTAATTGTTTGGAAGTTTTCTGAAATCCTTTGAAAAGCTGTTTTCATTATCTGCTTGGCTCACAAGCAGCTATAACTGGCTAACCCCTATCTCATTTTCGCTTTCAAAACTGGGATGCCTAGGCTTGGATTTCTCAGCTTTGAAGGAATCAATTAGGGCTGTCATCAGGACTGAGAACAAAGAATCTTTAAACAGTCTTGAAGATGAGTTCTCTGATGTCCTTTCTTTTTTTTTTTTTTTTTTTAAAAAAAAATCAGATCAGAACAAATTAGTCATGGAACACTGCTGCTCTCTTTAGGCAAATCCTTTCTTTATGACTGCAGTTAAGGCAGCAAAATGAAGTAGAAACATAGTTTTCAGGGCAAGATGATGGCAGGAATATAAGTCATAGTGCTTCTGTTGCCTCTAGTCATATTATACAGATCTTCTTTATGTTCACTTGGTTGTTGATTAAGAACTTGAAAACAATTAACCAGCCTGCCCCAGAAGGCTGGACATTTTCCAGATATTTGGACTTTAATTCTCAGGGTTTCCAAGCCAGAATTATCATTTCAAGAACTTTGGCAGTCAGAGCCCACCCAGCTGAAGAATGCACAGATTGAGAAGAACGGAAATACATACATACATGCTTGAAATGCTTACAGACTTTATAGCTACAGTGCAGCTCACTGTAGACTTTCAATTCTCAGTGGAAAAACAGTGACAGTAGAGAACACTAGGATCTCAAACAGTATGCTAAATATTCATTGTAAAAACAACAATGAAAGAATGGGCTGCATAAAAACTACATCAAAAGATATATTTTGGGGGAAAGCAGATAATCATACTGAAAGTGTAAAAAGTGACTAAATCCCACTGAGGTAGTAAAACCACTCTGGGTAGAGAGAATGACTGTTTGCTAACATTCATATTCATTCATAAATGGGAAATTTTGATTAATTATCCTGGACTTGCATGTAGGTCTGCTTTTTTGTTTGTGTGTGCACACATTTTTAAGTCAGTGTTGATTTCTGGCGACTGCCTGGACTAGTCCATGCAGTTCCTTGGAAAGATTTTTGGAAATGGTTTGCCATTGACTGCTTCCTATGGCTGAAAGAGAATGCATCACCCAGTTGCTTCATGCCTAACGTAGAATTAGAACTTGGGGTGCTCTGCTTTTTAGCCTAGTGACTTAACCACTAAACCAGACCAATTCTTGTAAGTCCTTTGCACCTCCACTGAAATTTGGGCACACTGTTGTAACCAAATTTAAGAATAATTAAATAAGTCTCCTTCTGTCTCTGCCATTTTTTCTTTATCATTTTCCTTATTCACAATCATGTGAATAATAAGTTGGAAAAATTTGAGAGACAACATATATATTCTGGATCCCTGTCCTTTTCATATTCAGCCAACTGTCAATAAAAAAAACAGCACTATTCTGTGCGACTTTGCTGCTGATTTTACTATGAATCATTTTATTTTTGTAATAAATTAATAAAGCTTATTTTTGTTTTATGTATGTTAGACAATTCAATATTCGATATTCAAATATTTTCCTATTTTAGTTACATTTGAGCTGAATTAACATGATTTTTAACATTGCATTACAATAACATAGATTTATTAAAAATGTATCCTGGATTATTGTAATATATAGTATCAAGAATTTATGACTTCTTTTTAACTGTCTAAAGATACAGCCAGCAGTGGATTGTCAATGCTTGATTTTTTTTAAGTCTTAGGATTTTAAAAGTAATTTGACATATTAATTTTTTTAACAAGGTTTTTTTCCCTTTCCTTTCTTTTCCTCTTTGTTTTTATTTCTAAAAAAATATATATCTCTGCTACTTCATGGGTACAAATCAGTTATGAAATTGATATATTAGAATATATGAAGGAAGACAATCTGAAAATAAAGAACACTGGTCTGAAAATGTGATATAATTCACATATTTATCTAAAGTAGGGATTGGAACTAATGTTTTAAGATCCGAAGGCAACAGCTCAGCCATCCAGCCTTCTGGCTCTCATTAGGAATGCTAAGGTGTTGCCACTAGAATGGTGTGGATTGATTGATTGATTTTGCTTTTGAGTTTTTTCTTCTTTTAAAGGATGAGATTGAGATCCAGAGCCTAAGAGTCAAATTGCTGACATTTCCCCTTTAAAATATTTCCAAAATCTGAACAATGGCTGAAATATGTCACATTTTGATACACAATCTACACTAAACATTTACATAATTTATTTTTATGTTATATGTTTAATATACGTATTTACTGTGTCTTTTTATTGGCCAAAGAAGGGGGAAAGGTATTTTTATTCACCCCTTTTTACTTAGTTTGCAGGTTTTATTTATAGTTTTTTTTTGTTTTAATCAAAGTACATGCTAAAACAGGTATAAAATGGTCCTAACCTTTGTATTTTTGCTTACTGTTGAAACATGTACTCAAGTATTAAATTTTAATTTATAGTTCAGAATAATTCTTTCAAGATAATTGTCCAGAATATTCAAAAATACTCCTGTGAAAATGTATTACTATGAAATGGTTTGTTGTATAAAATCAAAAGAAATAACTCTTTCTCTTTTACTCCTCCCTTCCCCCCCCCCCGATCATGCAGGCTATATTTGAAGTAATCTCTTCAGAACATTCATATCTGCTCAGTCTAGAAATTCTGATTCAAATGTTTAAGAATTCCAAAGAACTGAGTTCTACAATGACAAAAACAGAAAGCCATCATCTTTTCTCCAATATTGCAGATGTCTGTGAAGCAAGCAAGAAGTAAGTTTTAAACAGTCTTTATCACCAGAATTAGTGATTTGCCTCTGATTGTTGCTTGCTTCCAGGAATTTTTAAATGCTTTCATGTTCATATTGTTGGCAAGTACATTGTTGCTACATTTCTTTAGACAATTCAGTTGAAGACAAATTTATAAAAGTGTGATCAAGTGGGTCAAATTTGTAGTGTTAAATTGTAAAGAAGTCAAGAACTAAATCAAAGGAGCTTTTAGCTATTTTACATCTGTTTTTAAGACATAATAAAATCAATAGAGCTTAACCAAGCTTGCCAGCTAGACTAAAGAATGTACATGGGAATGATTAAAAAAAAATCTTAATTTTTTTTACTGCTTGTAATCATATTATGTTGCCTATCTTTGCTATAAGATATACTATGACATTCATGGAATATGCTGAATATTTGTTACACAGATCCACTATAATAGATTTATATATGTGCTGTTTTAATCATTTGGCAGACAGTATAGTGCATAGTACAAATACTGTTGAAAGCTTTGACAGATTTCTTCAATTAATGCAGTTCTGGTTTAGAATCATATCTTTTCTGGTCTTAAACCAAACAGCTTTTGCCAAACCCTTAAGAGATGTGTGGGAATCATATGCATAAAAGATTAACTCATTAGTGGATACTATTGTAAGGTTGTGAATTTGATAAAAAAAAACCTATTGATTTTAATGTTGCAGGATATTTTGATGATTCTTTAATTTGTGATCTAAATTATGTTTGTAAATTCAAACAGATTTCTAGTCATGTTTGGACTAGTTTATATAATTATCCCTTTCTTTGTAGACAATATGGCAGATAGTCTGTTTAAGCTGAAAAACTAAATTTTCTTATTAAAGAATAAGTCTTATTGAGTACAATTATATTTATTTCTGAATAATCATGCATTTAAATATATCCAGTAGCTTTTATTTCTAGGAGTAATTTTTTTCCAGAAAAATTGAATATAGTAATGCACTGGATATTTTCATGGATAATTACAGGGGTAATCCTACTGTTAAGAAAAATGACTTCTACTATTTGCAGAAATATTTTATGAATAGAGTTGCATTTATATGTTTATTTTTATAACAACCTTCTAAGTTTTGTGGGAGTACATTTCTCAGAAATCTAGTTATCATGGCAAGGAATTCAAGTTATCCCTGTTTTTACTCTTCCATTCTTCGTTTGGCCTTCTCCACTTCAAATTTATACCAAATTCTAATTCAGTACTTTGGGCATTTCTGTTTGGTTGGTGTTGTTTTCTACTGGATGACATTTTGATATTTGAATATCTATAGAAGAGAATATTTGCAGCTCAGGGTTGAACTGTAGGGTCTTTGGTGCTCCCTGGGCTTGGTAGCTTTCTTGCAGACATTTCATTACCAAACCTAGTATGCAGATGATGTATACACACATACACAGAGGAAAAATATTTTTCTCTTGTTTTCTTAGAAGAATAGATCATAATCTTCTGAAATAGAGTCAAAGTTACTATTTATCTGTTACTATTAGATTAGCTATACTATGCCAGAGTCAAGGTAAGGAAATCAGAACTTAAGAAAGAAATCCTCTTACATAAGAAAATTATCATAGAGCAACAGTATAACCTTGGGCATTGCCTAATCCAAGAACTCTGAGTCACTTATACCACTGTTTGCTTCCTCTTGGCTGAAAACTCATACATTTGATGTTTTTGTCATCTAGAACAGTTACATCATTGTGCTTTATCAACCTGTTGTTTTCTATTAAACTATCTAAGTACAGAAGTTACTTTCTTTTTTGCTGTAACAGGGACATGTTCAAATCTTTAACATCCATAAAACTTTCATAAGTAACTGATTTGTTAATAAATAAATCAATAGGTGTTTCAGCCAGCACATACAAACTTTTTCATATATCTGGTGGGGTGTCTGTAGGATATCATTCTCCCTTCCATCTCCCCTACCATCCTGCAAAAACCAGTGAAGCTTCTTAGATGAGAAGTGAAATGTCTTCTTCCTCAAAGGAAAAAAAACAGTCCATTTGCCTTTTGAAAAAAGCCCCTTTGAGATATTGCAGTTTATTTCTGCATAAGATATGTCACATAGGGATGTAATTATAAAACATTTAAGCCACTGAATGGAAATATGCAGTGGTGTGTCCATGGACATCTTTTCCCACACACAGGAAGACCTTTTTATTAATGTATTTATAGCTATTTAGTACTTTGATTATGTGGTAGTCTTTCTGTGAAACAGATTTTCTTAGCATAATATTAAGGGGTTAACATGTTTGTATTTTGAGACTGGCACTCTTGTTTCTGCAATGCATTCAGTTTCTTTTCATTCATAACTTGTTTTCCCAATTCCAAATACATCAAGCAGTATGAGAAACCAAAGCCAGATTGTCTCTAGCAGAGAGCTGTACAGATCTGCTTGAAGATATTCCCTTACTATGCTTGCATAGGTCTTCAGGTTAAGAATAAGTGTAAATTTACGACAACTATTATATTTATGTATGCAGCACCTTCCTTGCTTTCACGAAGCAACTCTTAACTACCGTAGAAATAGGTTTATTAAGTTAATGTAATTGTGTCAGTTGGGGCATTGTTTCAGAGATATTTCCTTACCAGATTCCTCATGTCTTTAACAATGACAGAGCTTCTAATATATTGCCTTCACTGGAAAAGTTCTTAAAAATTCAGGGAGGTACTTAGAATTGTATCTGTCTTGAATGTTACCCATGTAATCTGTATAGCAGTCAAAGATTAATAGTTGACAACAAGAAATTTTTATGACATTAAGATAAAGATGTTTTATAAAATTTGTCAACTTTCAGTTTTATGGGAATCATGAGTTTTGGAGTTTGGATGCATTCTGTAAGTTAGTCCATTTGAGGTGTTTTGGTTCAATGCACTGTTTCATCCAGTTAAAAGTTGTGGGAATCTTTAGTAAATTAGAGATAGACTATACATTCATTTCTACTAAATATGTTTGGTTATCGGTCAAAAGTTTACTTCTGAATTAGAATGAAACATATTTAATCCAAAACAACAGTTTCTTCTCATATTTTATCCATCTTTATATTGCTGTCTGTCTGGCTCATACTAGAAATAAAAATCAAGTTTTTGAAAAAGCCTGTTTAGAAATTTACTTGTTAATATAATAACACAATGTAGACATAGTTCATTGAATGTGGATATGTTCAAGAATAAGTATGTGTCTAGCTTTATCTGGCAACCAAGGTGAAATAATATTTTAGTTATTGAGGACTAATAAAAGTTTCAGTTGATTAGTAAATTGTACAGCTTATATGTTACATTAAAGCTGCTTAGAAATGAGATGGGGAGCAAATAAATGTAATAAATGAAATAAAAGAGGAAAAATTTTTGAAGTGATTTAACCGGGTCTGATGTTTTTACATCGCTAAAACCTAGCATGTAGTGTGTAGACTTTTAATATCCACTGTAGGTACAAAGATAAAGCATTTGTCTTGTTGGCGAGCGAAAGTAATCACCATCCATATGGCATTGTAGAGAATAAAACATTTAGGAGCTACTACTTTATGTAGCTGGTCACCATTTCAGCCTCATGTGTTTTAAATGAGGAATAAAAGAACCTAATTTAATTCAAACATTCATTTTTCTAAAACAAATATGTTTCCATTCAGTTTTTTCCAGTTGTTTGTTGAGTAGCCTGTAAAATATATTCACTTATCTTTTGAATGCAGTCTTCGCTGTAGTCAATTTATTATTCCTTTCCATCCAGAGAGACAAATCTCAAAGTTATTTTTTCCTGCTAGTAAGGAAAAAAAGAGTGTTAAATGTTTTTCAGAAAGTTAGATCAAGGTTCTACTCTTGTGAATAGTTGCACAAAGTATGTAAGGACAGGCATACTTGCAATTGTTTGGGTAGAAAGCCAGTTAAGGATCTTTTGCCCTTAGATAACAAATTATGATTAATGTGTTCTTCAAAAATATTCTGTTCATTTCAGGTTCTTCACAGAGCTTGAAGAAAGGCATCAGAGCAACATCTTCATTGATGATATTAGTGATATTGTAGAAAAGCATACTACATCAACTTTTGACCCTTATATAAAATATTGCACTAATGAAGTCTATCAACAGCGGACACTTCAGAAACTGTTGTAAGTAATAAGAACTACTATTACTAGAATTGTTTGGAGAAAATGATGTTGTGAATTATGTATAATTTTGTTTTTTGAAAAATAAATATTTCAGCTATACTACGTAATTGTGGAATACAGTAAAGTGAGATTTTGATTTTGGTTAAGCGATTCCCCCAAGGTTAATTTATTTCAACATATTTCTAAATTGTCCTTTATCTACAGGCATAATGGCTGAAGTATGAATATAATTATAGGTAAAACTAAAAACATTGTTTCAATCACAATTGTTACTAAAATGATTTGGTTAATTTTCTATTAAAAATCTTACTGAAAAGATTTTCTCATTAGCACTGGACCTATTCTAGAAAAAAATTAGATTTCTTGTGAGATAACCTTGTATAGATAACATATAGTTGTAGCTTCATAATAATTGTGTTTTTACAGGTGAAAGAGCCTCTGTGATAACTAATCAGCAGTTTCTTTGAGTTGAAAAACCATAGGCAACAGTTTTATAACTAGCCTGGATACTACCACATCTTAATAGAAGATTTGTGGGACAGTCTTATGAATTTATGAGGTGTGATTGTTGGTATTAGTTTTTATGTTTTCAAGAAAGCTATTGGCAAACAATTTTTTTCAGACAAAAACAATGTTATTTATAAAATTGTTGCTATTTTGGACAGAGCTACCAATCCATCCTTCAAGGAAGTATTATTGCGGATTGAATCTCAAGAAGAGTGTAGGAATTTACCAATGATATCCTTCCTCATTCTCCCAATGCAAAGGGTTACCCGGCTTCCACTGCTGATGGATGTAAGAGGAGCTGATTTTTAATTATCTGTTCTGTTTATGATTGTGTTTATATATGTAATTCTGCTGTCATAATTTATAATTATGTAACCATTTAGTTGCTTATCCATCATATAAACTGCTGAATTGTCATAATTTCAGCAATTTAGAATTGATCCAGTAATTTAGAATTGGGAAATGTTTTTGCGGACAAGTAAACATTCTGCTAGAGTGGCTCCTGTGGGATTATAAGACTCTATATAAAGTACCATTTCACCCCTTGTCCTTTCATGCTGGACACTGCTGTTTTAATTTCAGAAGATTATATTTTGCAGTGCTGCAACAATTCTTATAAAAGAAGAATTTTAGGCTTAAGAATGTGGAAAACTATTTTTTAAAGCTTTATGGGCTAAAACATAAGGTGATCATACTTAAACCAATTGTCACAATGCCACAGTACCTTTTAATATTTATTTGGTTTATATGCCTGACCTTCTCACTTGCATATGACTCAGAGTGGCATGTACAATTAAATCTGACAATAATAAAATTCAATCATTAAAACCAATTGAAACAGTTAAAAACTATAATAATAAAAAGTCAAGGGGGAGTGCTATCTAAATTAGCCAGTTTGGTCTAGTAGTTAAAGCACCAAACTATAAACAGGGAGACCATGAGTTCTAATCCAGCCTTAGTCATGAAAGCCAGCTGAGTCATTCTCTTTCAGCCCAACCAGTTGTTGTGGGGAAAATAGGAAGAAAATGTGTTGGATAAGTTTGCCACCTTGAGCCATTTGTCAAAACAAAGGTGGGATACAAATTAAATAAATAAAAGTTGTGTTCAGATTTTGTACTGTACAGATAACTTATTATAGCTTAATTTAACAATCACAAAACAATTAATAAAAAGCTATATTTATAAATAAAACACAATAGAATTTCAGTGGTGAGAATGAGTGGTCAGGACCACCCAATGAGCTTTGTCAGTAAGAGTTTTGAATCTTCTGCTACCATAACTTGGTATGCTAAATTATGTATTAGTACATAATTGCTGTCTTTTGGCCTGCAATTTAACAGTAATGCCTCTTTTTATCCTATTAAGGCTCTAAAAACAACATATTACCAGGAACAGTTTTATAGCATTTTGGCTTCTCACAAAAAAACTCTTAACTCCCTTGTCATTAGATTAGAAATATATCAGTGTGAGATGTTTGCTTTGTTTTCTTTTGTTTTCATAGCTTGCTCTTAAAAGTAAGTTGATAAAATGTTGATTTAATGGTCAGACCATTTTTATTATGTTCCTTAAAAAGAGAAAATGTTAATTTACATCTTGTTCTGGATCTAACTATCTGAATATTCAGTGTGCAGATTTTTTAATACCTTGTTAAAATTGAACTGGAGAGGTAGGCAGACAGAGACATTTGTACTTAAAAAAAAATGAAAGATGGGGTTACCTACTCATTATATTAAATATTAAAAGTGAAATTTAGATATTTCCTGGGAGAAAAAACATTTCAGAGCAAGATGTTTTGGTGGTCTAGAAGATAGAATATTTTGATTCATCAGAATGTAAACATTTGCATAAAATTCATGATAGAGATTTGCAGATACAAGTATCCTATACATTCCCCTCTCACTAATTAAAAAAAAATACACATCTCTAAATTGACGAATTTTTTATTTCAGACAATTTGCCAGAAAACACAGAAAGATTTGCCAAAATACGAAGTTTGCAAAAGGGCTTTAAAAGCAGTAAGCAAGGTATGTTTAGATTCTCTGTACGGAATACTATGTGTTTATTGCTGAAATTATTTTGTGCATGTTTAGAAGTCAGAATTCCGTATATAATTTCTTCAAAATCTACTAAATATTGTTACAACCATAGTTGAGCCCCGGATGTCCATTGTTAGGCAAGACAGATGCTAAGTAAGTTTCACCCAATTTTTACAACCTTTCTTGCCACAGTTGTTAAGGGAAATTACTGCAGTTGTCAAGTTAATAAAATGGTTATTAAGTGAATCCGGATTCGCCATTGAGTTTGCTTGTCAGAAGGTCGCAAAAGGTGATCAGATGACTTCGGGACACTGCAGATGACTCTGGGACACTGCAGCCGTCCAAAATATATGCCAGTTGCCAAGTGTCCAAATTTTGATCATGTGATTGTGGGGATGTTGCAATGCTTGTAAGTGTTGAAACCAGTCGTAAGTCCTTTTTTTTAGTACTATAGTAATTTCTAACAGTCACTAAATGAATGATTGTAAGTTAAGGACTACTTATATCAGAAATTCACTGGGCAAATCTGCCTTTTGGGGGGTAAAAGTTTGATTCAGCAAAATTATTCATTGTCTCTAGGAAAATGATGATAGTAAGAAGAAGGAAGAACTTCCCAGACTATTAATTAACCTACTGGCTTAGCAAAATAAATTATGTTGTTTTAGTTATAGTATAGTCAGCTTTATTTCCATAAGTTATAAGTGATATAGGTGTTTCCCATCCTAGTGTTCTATTACATCTTACGACCTTCTGTGATAAATTGGGCTGAGACATAAAAACCAGCAGAAGTTAAAAGGTGACCTTTATTACTGAAGTATCATTTAAACATGGATCTCCTTGTCCTTATTCAACTTCCCCTATTGTAACTACATTGATCCTCATTATCAGAGATACTGATTCTACTTAATGCAGTTGCATAGTAGCTTCTGTGCATTTATACTAGCATCAAATATATTGTCTCTTTTGCAGTTGTTTTCTCCATTACAGCAGCTTTAAACATTTTTTAAAAATGTTCTGCACTCTGAATTTAATTTTCTCTGTGGTGTGAGCTAAAATATATGCAGCTTAAGTGTCTGAATTTGGCTCAATAGCCCATGAGTCATCCAAGATTGGTCAGCTGCAAACTATTGAATACAGTATGCCATTTTCTATAATTTATTTAGCACTCGGTTTTATGTTTGTCAAATCTTTATAAATATATGTTGGCTGATCATCAGAATAATCTGATGCAGATAAAATAGTGTCAGAATGTATTAATATTTATTAAACTAAGTTCACACTTAGAACACATTTAACAAGAAGTCTCTTATACGTATTGATTCTCAATTTCCTTTAAGGAACATCCTAAAATTATGTACTGATTATATGAGCTGGAATTTAGGATTAACTATCTGTCATCTACCACATATTTGTAGCAGAATTTTGTTGCAAGCTAAATATGGGGCCAATTCTTCATTTAGCTTAGCACTCTCTGAGCTGTCTGTATTTCTAGAGCAGGGCTTTTCAACCAATGGTATGGGTACCACCTGTGGTACATTGGCACCTGGTACGCGACTATTCTAGAAAAGTGGTAGCGGGGGAGGGGAATGAGCTGAACCGGTGGCAGCATCACACAAGCCTGAGTGAGAGATGGCTGGAGCTGCAGGGCTGTCAGGGCTCAGTGGAAGCCCAGGATCAGCGCCAGGCTCCAGCTGGAGCTTGGCGCTGATCCTGGTGCTTCTGCTAAGCCTGAAGAAGCACCAATCAGCTGGAAAGCAGTACTAATCCTAGTGCTTCTGCTGAGCCCAGAAGAAGCGCCGATCAGCTGGAATGTTGCAGCATTTCCAGGATCTTGTGATTTACATTCAGATGCTTGGCAACTGATTCATATTTATGTTGGTCACAGTGTCCCAGGGTCATGTGAAGTGACTAAAATCTGCTGCAACCACCCAGCAGATGGGTGGAATAAAAACCCAAAAAACCCCACCCCACCCCCGCTGCCAATCCTCAACAGAAATGCTCAGAACAATGAAAACCTTGGACAGGAGGAAGAGCACCATCAGGTGGGCAGGCAGTGTCTTGCTCGGCTATGGCTTGGGGGGCACTTTTTTCAGTGCCATTGTAACTTCGAACAGTCACTAAGCGAACTGTTGTAAGTCGACGACTACCTGTACTTTATCACTTTTTTCCTTTTGGGGGGGGTCATCAAGTTTTTGACACCATGCTAGGCGACTGGTGGTGCTCGTATGTTGCCATATCCTAAAAGTGGTACAATGGGTGAAAAGGCTGAAAAGCCCTGCTCTAGAGGTCCATAGAATGTTGAAGGAAGGAAGAGAAAAATGGCACTGTTGATAGGTTGATTGCCATTGGAGATGGTGGGCTTTATATTTTCAGTTGCTAATTTTTGCAGCCTAATGTGTAAAAGAAAGAACTCCCCCTCTTTTGTCAAAGGCAATTGAAATGTCCTAGCTTGGATTTCTGTAATTAAGCACAAGTAGTTCCTCTCCATTGCAATCAGCAATCATTGAGAATCTTTGAAAAAAAAAAAAAGGAAATAAAATTGGTTTCTGGCTAAAAATGGAGAATGAATCTCCTCCAAATCTCCAAGCAAATAAGACAAGCTTTTCTTCCTAAACCTGGCAATTTGCCAGACATGTTTATCACTGGCAAGAAAATTGACATTTAGTGATACTGCTTTCAATGAACACTAAATATTATAGATACGGTGTAAAACTATATAGGGATGCAGTGCTAACTTTCACCCATGCTAAGTAGAGAGAATAACATCCATACACATCACAGGACCTGAGTTGCATTAAGAACTCTTAATAAAACTCAGTTTATTAGAAGTAAAAATTATATTCTCCGTAAGACCCAGTAATTTTTGTTGCAAATTATTCCTGATAATAACAGTGTTGACATTTTTCATAAAATATATAGAAATAGAAAGGGGAACAATATAAAAACTGTTCATTCAAGAATGATTATTGATGATTTATTTCTCCATGCTGATATTGCATGTTATATAATGTAATCAGCATTGTAACAGTTCTAAAAAAAGTGGTGCATTTTACATACTGTTCACATCACGAAAGAAGTCAAAATAGCATTCTCTTGATTGGTACTGTTACTCTATATGGAAGTCACTAAATTATCAATTGATAAGTCTGATTTTATCTTTGGTTCATAAAAAGTGCTTCTAATGGCTTGCTAACAAATACTTTCCAGAAAAAATATGCCTCATGGGTATTTAAAAAATGCCTTTATCTTCATTTTTTTCCAAATTACTCATTATTTGCACTGAAATTCATTGCTACTGAAAAAAGAAAATACTTTAATATGCCTCCTACACATAGAATAGCTAGAAATAGAAATTGAAATGTAGCTGCATTGTATCTAAGGAACTCCAGATGAATTTTTTCTCAGAAAGAATATGGTTTTTTTTTCTGTTTCTCTTTTTTTTTGGGAGGGAGGTCCAAAGTTTTTTGGAAATATAAGAGACTTTCCCAAAAGTATCCTCCAGAAAGTTGGGTAAGGCTGCTATTGGTACAGTAGTTTTACCTTAGTGGCAATTAGAAAAAACTTTTTTTCAAGCACCCTCTGGTGTTCCTTTTCATTAATGATATATTTGGGGAATGGATTTAATGATACAGATTGGAAATAAATAGAATCAGCATTTTGTGTTATTATAATTCTTGAAGTTGATGTTTGCAATAGGAAGAAAAAAGAACAAAGGGAAAGCTTTAAAAACTTTTCAGTTCTTTGGCACTGAAATCCTGCATTGGTAGTAAGGAAAATAACAAGTCTTACATTAATTTTTAAAAGTAGGTCAGTAGTAATACAAAAATGTTATTGCCATTTTACAGTTGAAAGTCTATAGATTTGAGTATCTCAGCTTTTAGTCACTTAGTCAAGAGGAGATCAGAATTCCAGAAGGACTTTAAGAATGAGGGTGCAACCTGGTCATATTAAATATCAATGTATGAAGAAATACTGAGATGTCTGATTTGGGGCCCTGGCTGTTTTCAAGGCTGGTGTTGTTGTCTGCTTATGTTTTTCTTGTTGTTTCTATGAACCACCCAGAAATCTATGGGCTACCATACATGCCTTGTAAATAAATAATCATTTGTGGGAGGACTGAACATAAATTAGCAGTCTAACAATAGAGAAAAAAAAGTACAATGCAAACCATACATCAAAGAAACAATCAAAATAAAAAAATAAAATCAGCAAAGTAACCATCATGTGGCTCATAACCTCACTACCATTAAAAGCACTCTCTCCTCTTATGCTAGATGGAAAAAATGGTCCTTAACAGCTAAGGCCCAGGAGGTCAGGCCCAGAAAAACCTCTGTGACAGCGGAATTGATTGGATGGCAATCATGAAGGGACAGGATCTGGAGGGAGTTGATCCTATTCAGTTTGATTGAATGAATAGGTGAATATGGGAGAGAGCAGATGTAGGGCAACATAGGGCTGTGAGATTGACAACCAGCAGTAGCGTCCTTGATTCATACCTGGAAACTGACAGGTAATCAATCAGTTCCCTAAGAAGAGAAGTCAATCAAATACATCCATAACTGCCTAGGGAATTGCAGCTGTAGCTTCTAAAATGTCTGAATACATCACAGGTGTTCAAGGGGGGAAATAACTAGGACATGAGTGGCTATAAGAAGGTATAGCAGTCAGCTACTGTGTCCTTGGATATGTGCCTGTATATTAGAAGGGGGCTGTCAAGAAAACTCAAAACCAAGAAATCATGTCTTTATGAGTTGGAATACTAAGGAAATGTAAACAGTGCCCTTTTTTTAAAACAAAAAATGGATGTAGCATTCTTACATTGTTTGTAGAAAAGGTTAGTACATTCAAAGGTAGCTGTACATTAAAAATCTTTTTCTGATTCCTTCTTGTTATGTACCTCAGAAAGATGGGACTTTGTACAGAAAAAAGTAAACTTTTAATACTGAGTGCAAATGTGTTAGGTGAAATAGATTTTTTTTTCCCAGTTGGTTCGTCTGTGCAATGAAGGTGCTCGAAAAATGGAAAGGACAGAAATGATGTATACCATCAACTCCCAGTTGGAATTTAAAATCAAGGTAGGAAATTTCCTTCCATGCATTTTTATGCAGACTTCTAACTTTTGCTTAGTTTTAATGCTGAATTTTCTGAGTGAGAATAAGCTGTGTTTATTTTTCTTATGATGAAATAGGGATTATTCAGTTGATGTTTTGGAAAATAACAAGAGTATTTCCTGAAAGCAATAATGCGTAAAGATTAAAGCACAGTTCATATTTTTGGTTAGTGAATGCCAGTTCTTTTTTTTCCCCCTGGCATTCAGAACTATAGAAAGAACACCATTTATTGTTAAAATGTCTGTTCGGAAAATCTAGAGAAAAGATTAAATTGCAGTTTTCTTACGTTGTAGCCCTTTCCACTAGTTTCTTCTTCACGATGGTTAGTGAAACGGGGTGAATTGGCAGCATTTGTTGAAGATACTGGGATTTTTTCTAAAAGGACTTCCAAGCAACAAGTATACTTCTTCCTCTTTAATGATGTCCTTATTATCACAAAAAAGAAAAGGTAGGAACCATACTGGACACATTTTTTTTAGAGTGAAATGGTAGAATTATGCCTGGTTTTTTTTTATTCTGTTTTAAAAAGAAACATATTATTACTTTCTGTTTCTCTTATTTAAACTTTTGACAATTCAGTTGATTTTTAATCAATTGCCTTTTTGTGAGAGTATGATGAATAAATATTTATTTGTCATGTTAACAGGTGTTTTTTTAAAAAAAGGTCTGCTTAGATTACTCTCATTCATACATGGAAAAATCAGTTCTGATTATGGAATATTGTTTTTTCTGCCATTTTTTTTAAAAAATCATGGTAACTAGTTTTTTGAAAACGAAGACTATAAAGGGAGAAGAAGTTTCATCTGATTATTGTACATGCTGATATTCATGTTTATTAGGCTGGTCATTTTTCCCAGAGTTTATGCTCAGCTCTTCATTTGAGATTCTGTTAAGGAACAATATGAGATACTGAACCTGGAATCTTATGGATTGATGATGACATTCAGAATTGAGAAAAAGAAAAATACGTTACAAAATGATCTTGTAGTTAAGAATGACATTATACATTGGCTTAAAATTGCTTGTATATTATAAGAAGACTTTCCGAATGCTTTACATTCCAGCTAGGTCATTAAATGAATTATCTGGAACTTTTCTAATCATCAAGCATGCTGAAAGCATCCAAGTAATGAGACTTTTTCAAGTCCAAACAGCTATAAGTAGCTAATTTTATATACTTATTTTTTTCGTATTAGACAAAATCATATGGATTGTTACACTTTATTTGAGTGCTTCCTAAGAATAAGTTGTGACCAACTTATCCTGTTGGGTTGAGAAGTAGAGTTGTGAAATAGTTCCGAAAGGATTGAGTAATTTATAATTTTACAAATACTTGAAAATCACTACTTCATGATAATAATCACTTAAATATGACTTCCCCCAGATTCTCTAGAAAACTTTGGAAGCAGTGAAAGGTACTTAATTCTGACTAGTTCAGCTCACATTGCAGAATTTGCCCAGCATATTGTGGGAGCTGTTCAGCCTGTGAGAGCCCTTGAGCAGCAGTGAATGAGAGGTTTTTCTATCGTTATTGCATTTGTCTCTTGATGTTCCTTCTAGGATAGTCCAAAATTCATGATTTCTAGAACAGATTATTCCAGGGATTTCTGGAATAATCTGTTCCTTCTGAAGTATATCATTCCAGGGACAATTTTCAGTTTTAAATCCTCTGGTTTGAATTATTTCATTATGGTCCAGCCCTGAAACAAGTCTATGTTGTCCAGAACTCTGTATCGTGGGCACTTAACCTGTTTTCAGTTCTGAAAAAATGTCTTCCAGAAACAATCCTAGAATAGCATGGTCCAAAAAGATTAGGTATGATCTGAAATTTTCCAGAATGTTCTTTGATCAAATTAGCATGTTTTGTACACCTCCACCAGATTTGAAGCACATGGAGGCCAAGTGGGATCCTTGTCTTCTAAAACTAGATGAATATGTTGCTTTTTTTTTCTGCTTCTGTATTAAAACCTTCCGTGCTTTACGAAATAACTTTGAAGAACTTCTTCTTATTCTTCAGTGAATACTGTATTGTTGTTAGGCTGTACTGCCTTAAAATACAGTATAGCATATGTGATTTGATTAATTCCAATGTATTTTCCTCTCTTATATACAATTAAATGTTTCTCTTTTTGACTTGTTGAATTATTTTTACAACAAATCAGAATACTCTGAAGCTTCATTAACAGAAACACAGAAAATTGTCAGAGTAGTATTATCACATTTTAAGAAGACCTGCCTATTTTTTTTTTAATTCTGTGGTTATTATATATTCTTACATGATATATACAGTCCCCTTAGGATATCACTGAAATTCTTTCTCCATCCAATGGTTTGTCAGCTCTTGAGATAATGCTGGAGTGGAATGCAGCTGGACTTCTTAAATATGAAGCCAGCCAAAGGTCAAAAGCTCTTTGGAATGTTAACCTGTGCACAGTTTCTGGATAAAATGGAACTTGTGCTACACATAGCAGAAAAATATTCAAAACAATAACACCTGTTTGTAATTAGATTACTGCTTGAGTTTCTTTAAAGTTGCAGACCTTTGCAGAGTATTAAAATCAACAAAAAATAGTGATGCTAATATGTATTAAAACCTTTGCAATTGTTTGCATTTAATTGAGAAAAAACTTTCTAACAGAAAAGGGAGGAAAAAAAGAAATATATATATATTTGTATGGGAAATAACATTGGCTGCATTTCTTGGCATGCTAGCAAATTTTACGTGGAAACTAAAGCAATAGTTTACTAGCAAGCAGATCCCTAATTTTTCTATCTCTACATTTTTCTGTATAAAGCCAGCCTGATTGCATTTCCATTTTCATACATCTGCTAACCATCTTCTCCAGCAATACATTGTTTATTGAGATGTGAAGGAATTGGCATTACTCGTAAAGACTCATTATACATTGTAAACAAATTAAGCTCTCTCATTCTAGTGCATTCAAAAATAATTGCTTTACAAACTCCAGAATATCAATTGTTTATATAAAAAAATTATCTGTATGAATTTTCAGTTGGATCCTGTAGACGGTGATGGAACTAATGTAATATATTTACTAATGTTGAAAGTTGGGGAGAATTATGTGTTTAATGTTTCAAAATCAGCTAAACATTACACACACTCTGTTATACACTTCTTTTTTTCAGTAAGGATTGAGATTGAATCCAAACTGAATGACTAAATTAGTTTATTTCCTACGGGCATTCATTCAGGCATTGTGGAAGTTATGCATATTCTTCATCAAATTTGTATTCCCGTGTGATTGGTAATTTTTCATTAATAATGTTTTCTGCTGTAAAAAGCCTATTTATTTATTTACTCAATAGAAAAGGTTCTCTTTCTGAGTTCTGCCAAAAAAAAGTTGGCTTCTTGAGGAGTAGGCAGATCAATACCTCTTTAAGATGTGGACGAACAAACCCCTCCTTCAAGGATGAATTCACCACTGCCAGAATCCATCCACACGTCACCCCAAGGGAAAGGAAGGGGGGGATCTAAAGGGCAGAAGGGCAAGATCACAGTCATGGTGACCCCAAACAGCACAAAATTAGGAATGTTTAAATTAAATACAAGAATGCATAAGTTTAAATATGGAATAGACTTTTTCTAGAGGACTCAGTATTATCTTGTTATCTTGATGATTAGATCCTTCATGAATGTTTTCTTTCTTGTATTTCTTCATTTGCTGAGCAGCTGAAAATGTCTGAAAAATTAGGCACCATGGACTGTTCTGTAGACGTTTGTTGAACACCTGACATGTTTAGCATTGATCTGAATCTAAACTCCCTTTGACTCTTGTCTCTTTTGGCTCCTTGTATTGACAGTGACGAGAGCTACAATGTTACAGATTACTCTTTAAGGGATCAGTTACTAGTTGAGCAGTGTGACCACGATGAGCAGAATTCCTCTCCAGTAAAAAGCAGCACACCAATGCTTTACTCTCGGCAGAGTGCTGCCAATCACCTCTTCAGATTAACTGTCCTAAGTAACCATGCAGGAGAGAAGATTGAACTGCTTTTGGGAACTGAAACTCAGTAAGTAAATGTCACTCAGTAAGTAAATTTCTTCTATTTGCTTTTCAAATCTGGGATTCTAGAACAAGACTTTTCCATCCATTGTGTAGAAATATATTTTTCTGCTTCTGTTCACCTTTATTGTGCAAATACATAATAATAACATACTCTTAAATTATCAATTTGCTTATTTTTTTGTTAATAACTATCATAGGATTACAGATTTTTGAGGCAATACATATTATCAAGTTAATTAGAATGGACAGAATAACAGAGTTGGAAGGAACCATGGAGGTCTTCTAATGCAAACTTCTGCTCAGGCTGGAAACCCTGTACCATTGCAGACAAATGGTTGTCCAATCTCTTTTTAAAAGCTTCCAGTGTTGGAGAAACCTCTGGAGGCAAGTTGTTCCACTGATTAATCGTTCTAACTGTCAGGAAATTTCTCCTTAGTTCTAGATTGGTTCTTTTCTTGCTAGTTTCCATCCATTGCTTCTTGTTTTGCCTTCAGATGTTTTGAAGAATAGATTGACCTCCTCTTTTTTGTGGCAGCCCCGTAGATACTGGAACACTGCTATCACATCACCCCTAGTCCTTCTTTTTATCAAACCATGTGTTCCCAATTCCTGCAACCATTCTTCATATGCTTTAGTCTCCAGCAGCCCCCTGATCTTTTTTGTTATTTTTCTCTGCATTTTCTAGAGACTCCACATCTTTTTTATATCATGGCGATTGATATAAACACATGTATTGTATCCAGGCCCATAATTGTCTCTTTTGCTCTTCTCTGCACTCTTTCTAGAGTCTCCACATCTTTTTTATATTGTCATGATTGCAACATATTTTTGATTTGAGACTTTGAGATGCCAAGAGTCTTTGCTAATTTTGCCTAAGAAAAAAGTATATACTGTATATATATTGTAAAGGGATCACAGTGCTATTTGTTCCTTTATTATATTTATTATAATCATTATTTGTTAAAAAAGTCATATAAAATCTCTTTATATTTTCAGATTTTGTTGTTTCTCTAAAAGGTTCAGCTTAAACATTGCATTCTTTTCATACATATTTATTTCCTAAGAAATAAGCATTATAATTCAGATATTAACTCCAGACTGCAGTAAAGCTATGGAAACTATCTTGTTGAATTCTATATAGCCTGGAAATGGGAGATAATAAAAGAAGCTGCTCTGCCTTGTTTGGCTAGACTACATTGAAAGACTATTCATCCTGAGACAGCAACAACAAGAAGCATTTTGTTTTTAACGGTTCTGATTCCATAAAAAAAAAAAATCCATTTTGTGGAATGCCCTTGGCATCAGAGTAGGTTTCTGAAAACTAAAGTCTAAATCTGTTTCTGGAATCCATAAAGCAAAAGAGCGTGTTTGTGCATAAAAGTCAGTACATTTTTGCCCAGTAGTGTTAGGACATTTCTTCCATCTCAAAAATTAAAATGAACCATGAAGCATTGCATTGTGAGATACAGATACACACACAGAGAGACATACATTCTTATAGGATGGCTTTAGATCTAGCTGATTAATATTGGAATGTTATTAGATTAACATGCCAGAATGGCCCATGTGAATTCAGCTAATTTCAAAATTGGCATAACTAAATCTTTTCTATCACAGTTCAGCCTTTTAAAATCTAATTATCATGACTTCTTCATTGGAAGAAATGAGGTTTTGTTCTAATATTGCTTAGAAGTCTGTGCTGTATTTCAAATGATATGACAAAAATCATTAGCATAAGTGTAGTTACCTATTTTCTGGTGTCTTAAAACTTAATAAATAGTGATGCATACAGATATTTTTATTATATTTTTTCAATCAGGCTTAATTCAATTTCCTTTATTAAAATCACTGTTTAATATATCATAGTTTTTTCTTCATGTACTGAAACTCAAGTGATTTTATTTTTCTGAGCTGATCCATGGAGGCCCCTTTTGTTTTAGGAAATGTCCTGCCTGTATTACAAACCAACCACCTACAAAACATAATCACATTTTTTTGGGGTTAGCGAGCAACTATAACTCCCTGGGATATATTTTCTTACTGCATTAGCAGTGTGTTGTGAATAAATAACAATGTCTTTTTACATAGAAAATGTTGCTTTGTTTAATACCAAAGCATAATTTTAAAAAGGTTGTAGTGAAGATATTTAAGGGAGATTACATTGGTCAATTTATTCCATCATAGAACCAGGGAGAATAACTTAGGTCTTCAGTAGCTCCTGGAACATCAACAGGGTGGGAACTATCTGTGTCTCTGAAGAGATGTTATTCCAGAAATCAGACATTGCAATAGGGAAAGACATGCTTCCTGAAGCGCCATGAGAACATCTTCACCTTACTACACTAATTACTGGTTTGCTTCCTGGTGGGATACAAGATGCTGGTTGTTACCTGCAGGTTACTTAAAGAACCGCCTATCTACCATAACATCTGCCTGCCTAATTTGATCCCACAGGTGGGGTACTCAGGTTCCTTCAATTAAAGCCAAGTCATGTATTGGGGCTCTGGAAAGGCATCTTCTCTGTAGCAGCACCTACCTTCTAAAACGAGATCCTCCCACCCCAGAGATATGGATGGCCCCTACCGTGCTGTTATTTAGGAGAGCTATGAACACTTGGCCCTCTATCAAGGCCTTTGGTGAGGAAGAAGAGACTCCCACTTCATTGAGCTTCACATCTTTTAATCTTTACCATTTATTGATTTCATTGAAACTTCTTTGTTGATTGTTTTGTGCCACCCAGAATCAAGTGTCATGTGGCATGCAAATTTAGTTAATCGTCACCTCCAGATTTAAAAGGCTTTCAGATCTGCAGCCATTCTGTCTCCCTAGACAGCAACCTACACCTTCTCCCAATGCAGATCTTAATCACCTCTACTGAGTCACTTCTTTGGCCTGGGTTAAAGTTGAATGTAGGTAACATCAGCACAGAGATAGTAACTTCACTACATACTAATGAATTACCTCCCAGAGCATCTGAGAGTTTAACTTCTCCTGTCCCTGCCAACTAATACTAGCCACTTAAGGACCAGAAGAAGTAGACAATGTGAGCTGTCCATTCCCAAGTCTCCTGGACAGTTCATAAAGATATTTATGGTATTAAAAGTCAAAGAGAGATCCATAAAGGTTAGGAGGACCACCCTCTTCTGTCCTAGTCTTATCAGTGCAATGTTTTAAATTCTAGTTAATACAGGTCTAAATAATCTGTTTTCTCCCATGTCACTTTAAAAAGAAAGCCTGGACACTAGACAATCTTTTAAAATATGTGTAATATAAATATATCCGTGCAATGAAAAAGAGGGAGATAATTAAATATTGATGATGTTTCCCCCCTTCTTTAGGAATGAGAGAGCCCGCTGGATTACTGCACTTGGACAAAGCAATGATAGAAGAACCAAGGACAGGACAAGTAAGGAAGGAATGAGAAAATTACTTAGAGTTGCAATGTGAACTTCAGTGACCATTGATAAAAATTAAACCTAACTAGGTTTCTGGTGCTTTCTTCACCCAGCCCATATTTATCTGTCTACTTTGAATAATAAGTTGGCAGCAGAGACTCTATTATAAGTATTTGATTTCCTTTTAGTTTTTTTTTTTTTTCTGTTTAGTTTTCATGAGAGATTGAATAAGACTTAAGAACATTTCAAGGATGCCCCCTACTGGTCTATAGCTTTGGATGTAATTGATAGTTAATGATTTACATCAGTGGTTTTTAACCTGGGCGATATTGCCCCCCAGGGGGTGATTTCATTTTTCAGGGGGGTGATGGAACGAAAAGGGGCGATGCGGGGGCAAAAGAACAAAAGGGGGGATATGGGGGCGATGGAGCGAGAAGTTTTGGGGACACTTTTGAGACTTTTTCGTACAGTGAATGGCTGTATATCTGTCGTACAAAAACATCAGATCACTTGCTATTAGTGGATTGAATTGTGTTTTCAAATGTTCCTCCAGCTAGCTTCAGTACAGAATGCCGTACATATGTGAATGCGCATCTTCATGCGCATTGCGCAGCAGCCTCTACCCATACAGTGGTGCGCTATTGGCCAGAATATGGGAGATATGGGAAAAAAACTGGAAATAAATTATTTGCATCGATATGTCCTGATGACAATTTTAAAGAAAATAAAAAAAGTGTTTGCATAAATTGAAGAATTATTTCCTATGTTGTGATTGAGAGGTTATGTTGGGGGAGGGGGGCGATGACAACTTCCTCATTGGCTCAAGGGGGCGATTCGTTCAAAAAGGTTAAGAACCACTGATTTACATGAACATTTTTGATCTTGCTTCTTTCTGTATGCTGTCTGATTCTCCTGTATTTGCAGAAAAGATCAAGAATTTCTCATTTGAAGAGTTTGGAAACTGCATGCAGAAGAATTTAAGTTATACTGAATATGTTTATAATTGCTTCATCTTTAAAGTGAATTCCTGAGCTTTTGAAATTTACCATACATTATGACTCAATAAATAATGTTCTTTCTCCATCAGCATTGACTCAGGTAGAAGTTATCAGGTCTTACACTGCCAAGCAGCCTGATGAATTATCCCTCCAGGCTGCTGATGTAGTTCTTGTTGATCAAAAAGTCCAAGATGGTAAGTTGCTTAGTGGCTGTAAAGCCCTTTTAAATGCAAAGCTCTTGAGCATTTATGCTATAGAAAATGATAATGTTACTCTCTGTCATTTATTCTTATAGAGTTAGGATATCTTTATTGAAATTTAATATGTAAGAATGAGTTTTACTTGTTTAAGATATTAATCTGTGATTATTTAGATTCCTGTTTCATTCTACTGCATAAGTAAAATGTGGATTATCTCAGCATAAATACCTTCTTTGGGCATTTTTTCCAAGTATGTGGGAAAGCCATAGATGGAATAAAAGTACATATAAATTTGCTCAAATAGAAACATTTAATTTGAAAACATCTTTCTGAAGGGCTTTCTGAAAATCATTTTTGTAAGCAATATGAGTATTAACATAATACCACACTTAATCTTTTACTTACGCTTTCAGTAAAATCTGCAGTACTTTCTATAAAAATGTCATGAAAGTATCTGACCATGTAATTTTACCTGACCATGTAATTTTACCTAACCAGGCTTGGTGGGGTGCCCAGAAAAGTCACCTGACAGAAAGCCGCAGAAATATATTGGATGTTTCTAAGTAACCACAAAAAGGGAATGCAAAGTATACTGAAGGTTTAATGATTAATCTTAAAGAACGTTAACCTTTGCAAATTCAAATTAATGCTTACTTTCATTGATAGTACATGAAAGAAAATAAATGTTCTTTCCCCCCAATACTTTTGGGACCAATAGTATTTGGAATGTGTGCTTTTGGTAAGGCTGTATGCATTGCTGTTCAGAAAGTTAATAACAGAACACTTTCTGTATTTCACAACTGTGTTAATTAATAGTTATCCTTTAGATAGTAGCTAAAATAATACAGGTGGATCTTGCTTTAATGTCTGTTCAGTGATCATTACAAGTTATGACAGAGGACAATTGGTCCTCAAAGTTCTGGCCATTGTAATACTTCTGTGCTCACATGATCAAAATGAGCACCCCTGGATTCACTCACATTTATTTTTTAATTAAATTTATATGCAGTCCATTTCACTGTTAAGTAACTCTAGGTGGCTTACAACAGCATAAAACAACCATATTGAATAATTAAATGTTAAAAACGTTGAAAATATTTACAACTACGTTTTGGTCACCCGCCTATCCATGACTGCCAGTTGCTCCAATGCCCTGCCCTGGCTGTCACTGCTGCACTTAACACAGTAGTCTCTGTTGTCTAGGGCCTTCTTTTATGCCTCATTCTTTTGCACTTGTTCAAGAATTGCATTGCTATGTCACTGCTATGGCATTTATCAGTGCTTATCTGGTTTCATTCTGTAGAAGCTGATGAACCAGTGTAAGACAAAATATAGTATTTGGAGCTTTTTTAATTTAAGTCCAGAGGCCAAAGAAGTTTTAAGTCTTTGATAAAAGAGTCCAAGGGCGATCAGGTTTATCATAATGATATCAGCATGTCCATTAAATTTCTCTCTGCTTGGGAATGCAAAGCCATTGCTTCTCTTATTCACTGATACAAAAAAAAGTTCTGTCTCTTTTCTCCAAAGGAAGACATTAACTAGACAGATAGTGAGAGGTAAAGACATTGTTATAGCTCCTGGCGATTATGCTACATTTATTTTTCTATTGTCTTTCCCTTGAAGAAAAAATATATATAGTGCAGGTAAAGTAGAGCTGATGCAGCAGAACTTGTAAATGCATAGTAGCTAGTTTTGGGGCTCAAGGAGTGCAAGCTCCTTATCCTATTTTAGTACATCAGTGAGTATCCTTAATTACAGGAGGATATAATAATATACAAAGATTTATTAAATTAATAATCTTTGAGAACCCAGTTGCATATATTAAATGGAATGTTAAACTCAGTAGAGCTCCATTAAATGGGCTCTGACAGGTTTCTTTATCCTTATGGTGCCTTTTAATGTGTTTAATCCCTTTTGCATTTCATCGCAGGTTGGTATGAAGGAGAGCGATTGCGTGATGGAGAAAGAGGTTGGTTTCCAATGGAATGTGCCAAGGAGATCACATGTCAAGCCACAATTGACAAAAATATGGAAAGAATGGGACGTTTGCTAGGCCTGGAAACTAATGTATAAAAACTAATGTATACATGTATTCTAGAATTTGCACTAAAGTCAATGGCATTTTGGTCCCCTCCATTTTATGTTGGTAGCAGAACAGATTATATGAAGATAGATTTTTAAGAATGGAAGAAATTAACCTAATTCAAGGCAAATAAGGGTTCTTCTGAATCAATTTCTACACAATAAACTTTGTTTTTAAAAATCTTATAAAAATAAATGTTGATTTATTGATAGCATATGTTGATAGCATTCCTATTTACAGTATTTACAAGATATTACTGTATCTTATATCTACTATACCTTTGTTCCAAAAGTTAGTTCTGTAGTCCATTCATTTCACCTTCTATTTTAATTTAATAAACCATTTTCATTCCTTTACTCCCACAGTCAACATTTTGAATTGAAACAGGCTTCTATTATGTGTGCAATTGCTGTGGTGCACATGATTGAGCTATTTGTATATTTTGAGGTAGAAAGGCTGTTGAGACCCATGAACATTGACTATCACTCTTCCAAATGATTTCAGTTGAACTGAAACATAATTGATTTCATAGCATATACTGTGATACCTGGATTAATTGGGGAAATACGATGAATGAAGACACAGAGACTACAACCATGGCAAAGACCAAGGAACAGTAAGTAGATTGGTTCCACTATCCAGTCTCCAGATAAGGAGAAGATAGAAAATTGCCCACACGTGTTCCTTATGAGACTTCAAGACAGCAGTCTTTGCGAGTTTGAGTGCCAGGAAACAATGTAATCATCCATCTTGCTCGGGACTATGATGGAGCCTTTTAAAGGACACTTAAGTTCAAAACCTCACTTTCTAATTACATTTGCAGATTGCCTATTAGCCATCTTAAATCTATTAGAGATGTTTGGAACAAGATTGAAAAGTCTTCATTGGGCGAATTTATATTCTTAAATTACAGTTCTTAATTACAAGCTTAAAGACTTAAAAACTTGAAATAAACGGCAAAAAACTAAAGATTTTAGTCTAAGAAAGTTATAAATGGATTAAGGACAGATCATTTTGGAATATTTATTTTTACTTTGGAATTAACTATAAAAAATAAACAACTTATGGGAAATAAACTTGGCTTTCATGAAAATTTCTTGTGATAACAAAGAGTAGGTGATGATTTTAGAAATTGGACAGTACAAGGAACTAAAGATTTTAAGCAAAAACAAAAAAATACAAGCCTGATGTTAGTACTGAGACTTATAAAATAATGCAAAACACAACATTGGAAATATTAAAGATCTTGGAAGAATGTAGCCAGATGTTAGTAACTACAATAACAACAGTGTCAGTAATGATGTCTGTTTCTACAGATAGGCAATGTCTAAAAGAAGTTAATTAAAGAATGATAGATATGTCGATCTATAGAGGACAGGTTAAGAGAATGATTTGGAAATACAAATGAAACTGGCTGAAGTTTTAAAAATGAAAAAGGCAGTACAAAGGATAAACCAAAGGAATGACTGGACAATGTTTTCTAATTCGATCTATAAAAGAAGGTTGTTAATTGCTTGAAGAAATCCTGACATAGAAAAAGAAGAAATGAAATCAAATCCTACAACCATAATTAATTGAATGAAAGATAAAGACTGGTAGAATTAAAAGAAAGGAATATGAAGTAGGTTTACTTGATCAAGGTTAAGATAAGACTTTTTTTAAAAAATGCAATCAACTGGCAATTCTCTGTAGATTTTTTTTACTAGCACCAGGATTGAAAAGTTGGCGTTTTATGGATTTGCTTAGAAATAAGGAATGGAATGAAGAGATAATCTGCTTAATCTTACAGATGATATTACATTTGTTTTTTTCTTGTGATAAAGGTTGGAAGTAACTATATATATATATATATATATATGTATGTATGTATGTATGTATGTATGTATGTATGTATGTATGTATGTATATATGTATATGTATATATATATATGTTTTCTGAGGTTTTCGCGGGTATTTGTATATAGGTCTTTGGTTGTTCGGGTTTTCTCCCGCGTAAAATTGGAAGTGTCTTGGCAACGTTTCGACGAAGTCACATTCGTCATCTTCAGGCTGGTGTTTTTAGCTTCTTGCTTTGAGCAGCAATGTGTGGTTTTAGCTGTTTCTTCCTTTTAACTGCCAGTGGGGGTATGAACTGATTGGATGGGAGCTTGGCTGTGTTCTGATTGGGTGGAGGTGTGTTCTGAATGGTTAGGGGCTTGGCTGTGCTCTGATTGGCTGGGGGAGTGTTCTGTTTGGTTGTGCTCAGGTTAGTCTGAGTTGCAGAGGGGTTTAAGATTTTGGGGTTAGGGAGTCGTTTGTCAATAAGGGCAGGTTTCCAAATGGCTGGTAGGCGGGAGGTATCATCTCGCTTATGATCATAAAGAAACAAAGCTTACAGCCCAGCGACCTACTAGTGAGCTTCGATGTCATATCCCTCTTCACCCAAGTGCCTATCAAAGAAGCCTTGACAGCTATTCAAAACAAATATAACCCCCCCAAACACATCTTAGATCTGACCAACCACTGCCTATCCAACACATACTTCATCTATAATGGACAAAAATACAAACAAACAGAAGGAGCACCCATGGGATCACCCCTCTCACCTGTCATTGCCAACCTCTACATGGAACACTTTGAAACCCAAGCTCTAGAAAAATCGGATCACAAACCCAAACTCTGGCTCAGATACGTAGACGACACCTTCATAATCTGGCCACATGGGAAAGAAAAACTGGACAACTTCCTCACACACCTCAACAGCCTACACCCCAAAATACAGTTCACCATGAAACAGAAGCTAACAACCAACTTCCCTTCCTGGATGTCTTAGTCTACAAGAAATCCAATGGCTCCCTAGGACACACCATCTACCAGAAGAAAACACACACAAACCGCTATCTGCACGCTCTCTCACACCACCACCCAGCACAGATCAACTCTGTAGCCAAGACACTCATCTCCAGAACAAAACGCTTAGCTGACGAACAACACCTAAAACCCGAACTACACACTCTCACCAATGTACTAACATCCAATGGATTCCATAGAAATAAGATTACAAACCTAATCCAAAAAGAAACCCCCACCAAAATCCAAGACAAAGAACAAGAAAACGGCAAAGCCCTCCTCCCATACATAAAAGGCACCACAGACAGAATCAGTAAGATCCTCCATAAACACAACATCAAAACAGCATTCTGCACAAACAGAAAAATATCCACCATCCTTAGAAACCCCAAAGATAAAATTGAATTAGAAAATCAAGGAGTATACGAAATCCCATGCACCACTTGTCCCACCACATACATCGGACAAACCAACAGAAGAATAAGTGCACGCATTGAAGAACATAAGAACTCAGTCAAAAAAGAGGAACCAACATCTTCCCTGGTCCAACACCTTAAAGCCACAGGACATGAAATTGACTTTAAAAATACCAGAACCATTGCCAAAAGTGAACATTTTAATAACAGAATAATCAGAGAAGCCATCGAGATAGAAAAACGCCCACACAGCATGAACAAGCGAGATGATACCTCCCGCCTACCAGCCATTTGGAAACCTGCCCTTATTGACAAACGACTCCCTAACCCAAAATCTTAAACCCCTCTGCAACTCAGACTAACCTGAGCACAACCAAACAGAACACTCCCCCAGCCAATCAGAGCACAGCCAAGCCCCTAACCATTCAGAACACACCTCCACCCAATCAGAACACAGCCAAGCTCCCATCCAATCAGTTCATACCCTCACTGGCAGTTAAAAGGAAGAAACAGCTAAAACCACACATTGCTGCTCAAAGCAAGAAGCTAAAAACACCAGCCTGAAGATGACGAATGTGACTTCGTCGAAACGTTGCCAAGACACTTCCAATTTTACGCGGGAGAAAACCCGAACAACCAAAGACCTATATATATATATGTATGTATATGTATATATATATGTATATATATATTTCTTCTTTTTTCCCTGCACTTTTTATTTTTTGTTTCCATCCTCATTCTCTAAGCTTAATTTGTATTTTTACTATTATAGCTAAAATTCTTAATTAAAATTATATATATTATTAAAAAACATATGGTATGATGCACTAAACGGTTTTTCATACTTGAGTTCTAAATAGTATTTATTAGTAGCTTTCCTCTATCTACATCACTTGCTCTGTTTTGAAAGCAGACTACCAGGGAAATAAAAACAGAAAGAAAAAAAAAAATCAAAGCATGGACCATGTTGAATTAAAAAAATGGTAATTTAACAGTTATTAAAAAGATTTATTTGGTAAGTTTTGATCCAACAGCATAACATCTAATACTGTTTTGAACTAAATAGTATGCAATAAATATGTAAGGAAAAGCTGGTCCATATACCAAAAACAGATACTACAGTGCAAGGCTTAAATTTCAGTGAACTATAAGTATGACTAAATATTTGGGGTACAACCTAGAAAAGTTCAGGTGGCCATTAGATCAGGGGTACCCAGCCCCCGGTCCGTGGACCTGTACCAGGCCGCAGCATACCAGCAACTGGTCCGCACAAACAAGCAAAGCCCCATCTGCAGGATGCAGGCAGCACACAAACCCACACACTCTCTGGTCCGCAGAAAAACTTTTCTCCACAGAACCAGTCCCTGGTACCCAAAAGGTTGGGGACCTCTGCATTAGATGGTAGCAAATGGGGTAGAGAAAGAAAGAGAATGTGCTTAACTCTTCACTGCCATCTACTGGTCATCTGAATTATGGCACCTGTACCATAACTAATTGAATTTCCATGAACAAGATGTCAGAATCCAATTATATTTCATCTTTAATTATCAAACATAGAAACTCCCAATTCTGCCTTCTCTGGATTCTGCCATAAGAGGGAGAAAAGGGGGAGAGCAAAGGGGCTTTATGGCCCTCACTTCCTTCAGCACACTTCAAAGGACTGAATGTGTGTTTATTGTGGCCTCTAAGCTTTAACATATCAAAGAAGAGTAATTGCCTTTCATGTAGTTATCTGAAGTCTCCAT